CAGGTCTCTCCTGATGCCATAGCTAGAGGCACAGTTAGGGGTCCTGGGGATGTGTCCTGGTTTTGGGGGCGGTTTGTGATGCGTTCCTGCACTCCCAGGTGTTTTTGGGGGTGCTACCAGGTGTTTCTGCTGTTTCAGACCCTCCTGCCTGTGGCCKAGGCTGCCGCCTCTGACCGCTCCGGGGCTCTCTGCCGTGTTTCCCCGTGCTCAGAAATAGAAAGCATTTTGGTGTGGGTTCATGGTGAATCCTAGAGGTGTCTTAAAAGAGACTAAAATTAGGAGAAGGCTAGTTATATATATACATATATATKTATCCCACCTTTATGTGTTACTGCTCAAAGGCCATTGACAGATCAGATGTGTGGCAGCTGCCTGGGTTACCCTGCTGTTTCTAAAGACGATGCCCTTCTCCTGGGCGGCCGAAATGTCCCTCCTACCCTCCTCTCTGCAGTTCATTTCAGACCCTCACTTCAAATTTCAAACTTCAAATATCCAAGAGCTGACAAGCCAAAGCAGGACTGAAAGTGCCCTGTCTGCAATAGCCTGAACTTACTTCTGTGGTGTGTAACAATCTAAACTTAGTGCTCCCAATGATTTGGAAAGGCTGGTAAGAATCCAGTGGCATTTGGCTTTTCTTTCTCTTTCAGTGTGTCTGCTAATAAGGCACTGTGGYACGTAAGAGAGAGCAGAGCTTCTTCATGGGTCTGAAACAGTTTTACAGTTTCATCTTGCTACTCTTGATCAGGTAAATCATTCAAGCAGATGCTATTCCTGTACTTAAATGATGTGCATGCACTTATCCCAGCAGGGTCTATATGAGCACAATAGACAGCGCAGTGAGAAAGGCTGGTCTGTCATAAAAATAGCAACTATCTTTCAGAATCAAGTGTTTCAGTGAACCTGAAGAAACTCAAGTTTGAAGAAACATCCTTGGCATTTAAGAACATGATTCACTTAGTCTTCTGACTGGAGAACTATCCAGCTATTCTATGCCAAATCTTTTAGAAGATCTAGGTATAAACTAAATCCCATCCTTTGACTTTCTTATTTAGAACTTATATGTTGAATATGCTGAATTTATTGACACCCAGAGTTCCATGCAATTTTGATCATTTWGAGCAAGAATTTGCAACTGAAAGCAAATAAAGAAACAAAGCAGAGCAAAGGAACAGAACAGAGCAACACAGACCTGTATTTGTGAATGAATCCAAGCACAAGCTCTGAGTACCAAAATCCATAAAAGCTGTGAGTGCCATTCACAAAATTCTCCAGAACTGACAAGGAGATCCTAAGAGGAGATTCCCTTCTACAGAGACMTCCCTCCTATGACAATGCTTGTGTTAAGCAGATTGGCTTGGTAAYCAAGTGTGACAACCACGTGTTTTACATAAAACAGCAGAGCAATACAAGAAAAATAATACTTTCTAATATCACAGTCCTTCTGCCTGCTCATAAAAACACCAGCTGTTTGTCTTATTAGGAACAAATACTTTATCCCATTTTACTCTAAGTCTGAACTGCTATTCTTGTCCTTGTCATCTTGAAGGCAATAGCTAAGTTAAAACAAACAGTCCTAAAGATCACACAAGATGTCAGTGGAAATATCATAGCTACTTCCTGAAACCAGGTCTTGTTCACAGACAGAACTGAGCAGGTAATGAAACAAAATTGAGACCTTCCTTATTCTGCACGGATTATTCAGCTTACACCTGGCATCTCCAGACTCTTGAGAGTAATTTTCGTCTTTCTTGTGGGTGTAACTAAACACTTGCAACAGCATACCAGGAAAACCAATGTGATATTTTGGAGRTAATCAGTGGGCAGTTCCTCCTTTGCTGCAGTCTGTTAATGCCTTTAAGAGTAAATACAGAATTTCAGATTAACTTTATTTTGAGAATACTGTAAGTATAACGCTGAGGATGATTAGCCTCCTGGGCTGATTCCARCCAAACTTGGTGGTAGACTAAGTTCTCAAAAATAAAGATATCAACATCTATGTTTCTGCAATTTTCATTAGGCTCAGTGCCCAGTAAAGGGAACAACTATGGAAAAGGCCAGGCTTTTATAGACTGACTCTAGAGGCCAACTAGAGATCTTTCTTTTGATTCAATGAATCTTCATTCATGATGATTTATAAAGAACTGTAAACAAAAGGGAATGAAGAACACTTCTGTTAAGACATGAAAGAGGCCAGCAATGTGTGGAACTGAGTAGGTTTTAAATGTATGGAAAGGGACATTTCTATTCCTCTAGTGCCTCTGAGCTTGTTCYGGAAAGAATTCACTATGAAAAGATATGTATGTGATTCATAACTCCTGCCTCTTTGCACTGCTGGTGGGAAGCATTTAGGTTAAATGCTGTTTGTAAACAATAGCACTGGAGCAAGTCCCTGACTGGGGAATCTGCACAACTGAGATATCTAAAGGACTGGTGAGGTATCCTTGTGCCAGGGGGCTTGGGGATGACCAACCCAAGCAGGATGGACCCAATGGCACTACCCAGCTCTCACCCACAGCTGCCTTCCATGATATTGTACCCCACAGCATCCTCCTGTCACTGCAGGGATTTGCTCTTTAGGGTGGAGTTGCCCAAATCTGAGGCTGAGATGTGATTTATGGCGTTTTGGGACTCCTCTGGCACTCTGAAAGCCCCTTCGAATTGGATCTGGAATGTTTCTTGCTTTTTCTTATTTCTTRCTCTATGCCAGCAGACATGAAGTGTATTGGAAATAAAAGAGTGTGTGATAGGAACTCACTGTGCTCAGGTGATCCCTGCCAGCCTCTAAGAGGAAAAAACATAGATCAGAGCAACACTAACTATATTATACCTTATCACTCTGGGGTTGGTGATGCACAAAGGCTCCTAATTTTAGTTTTGTATTGTATTGGAAATCATTTAGTTTCATCAGCCTAGGTATGAGACACATACCACGGGGGTGAAGGTTAACTCCTCATGTGTCACAGATGCTGAAAATAGTTGCTTTCTTGAGAAGAGGCTTCCACGGTTTTCCAGAAAGGAAGGGCTGCTTATCTTCCCCAGTATCCCTTATCTAAAATGTTGATTCTTGCTTGTGAAAGGCTATCTTATATTAATAGATTTACATTAGATACCATATTAATATCATATATTTATAAATGCTATCTTAATTTTCCATATCTTAAATTAGTTGATTTAGAAACTATGTTGAGTGAGAAAGTTATTATGGCATTTATTCATGACATTTTGTTCCACTTATAAAAGTTCTCCTTGTATTAATGAAAAGACAGTCTGCAATAATTCAGCCCAGGCTAGATTTTTTTAGCTGATTTTTTTTCTGTAATTARGATTAAAAAAAAAAGAATTAATTCATTTATTTATTTTCTGATTAAATGCCTCTTCTGATAGTGTTATCCTAATTAGCCCAACATTTCACATTTTTCCTTTTCAAAATTGCACAGTTAAGAAAGAAGTTTTAGGACTATTTCAAAGCCAAAATATATAAATCACTAGATCAGAAAAGCACATGACTGCAAATTAAAACAAATTATCCCTGAGGACTAGATTAATTGAACTTCATTTATGCAAGTAATCCACCTATTAATGTCTAATACATTTTTATTTTGGCAACTTTGGCAAACAAATGCCCTCTGCTTATGGTCTGCACAGCTGTTATTGGTTGATGGACAACCCTGAACAATGTATGTATCTGTTCTCAGAACTGCATTTCTGGATGCAAAACAAAAAAATCCCTTATGAATTAGAAAGAATAATTCTTACAATTATTCTCAGGCCATGCAGTTATGGAACAYTTTTTAGAAAGATACTGCAATGAGCTCTCTCTTGCACAGAAACACAGAGCGGTTGGGGTTGGCAGGCAGCTCTGGAGATCATCTAGTCCCACATGATGTTCGAAGCAGGGTCACCTAAAGTAGTTGCTCAGGATCTTGTTCTGACAGGCTTTGAGTATTTCCAAGGATCTCCATMATCTCTTTGGGCAACCTGTTCCAGTGTTCAACCACTTCCACAATAAAGAATCAGTCCTACATTACCCACATTCATCTGTTCCTACATTCATGCAGGATGCTAATGATCAGAGCATATTATTACTTTTTAAAGGAATTAAACTTAATGATTTGAATTGTCTGAAGCACATTAGCGTACAAAGTACATTCGGATTGGACTTGGGGTAAGGTTAGGACTTATCCACCTTACCCCAAGGTAAGGTTAGGACTTAGCCCAAACTCCTAAACCAAGTGTGTAGAAGGTCTCTGCAAGGCTGTATAAGGCCAGTAAGCAAGTGGAGCTTGGAGCTAGGTCTGTTGAAAGGTGTCCTCAACATGCAGGGCTCTACACTGGCTCCCAGCAAGTCCAGGGGCCTGAAGTATGAACCCAGAGTGCCCTCTTCCAGTGCAAGGACAGAGCTCAAATTTWTATCCAAATATATAATCCTCCAAATCCCATCACGCCTCAAGGAGAACACAGGAAACAGGTCTTAGGATGCATCCCTCCGAGGGCATTATGGGCTTGGTTGGGCATTGCAGAACTGTATCAACCTTCATTTGGGAGTCGCTGCCTCCTACTCACTGACAGATCCAAAATGTATGGATGCATGCTCTGTTGCTAGTGCGTTTGTTGGAAATACAGCAGATGCAGGTCCAGACTCTCTCACTGCTGGGAATTTGTACGGATTGATCTCTGGACTGAAGCCACTGGGTTGCCAGTGAAGCTCTGTCACTCTCAGCTTTCCGAAGCGCTCTCCCTGGCATGGACCTGGCTAACCAGACCATGGGAAACTTCCCAATCCAGCTTTAAGGGAGCTAGATCCCAATGGATTTCAGCCTGGGTCTCACTGAATACCTCATAGAAAGGAAAATGGAAGTAGCTCCTAGATGAAGGCACAGCAGCTCACATCTCTGCTTGGGAAGTACTTTAAGCACAGAGCGAAGAATCACTCCTCCTCTGAAATCCAAGGGATATTAAATTATTATATGATAATTAATAATTTCAGCCAAAGGAGACACCTGCTGCCCTACTCAAGGATATATTGCAAGAAGAAGTTAGGTTATCCTTCTGGGTGTGTGGTTCCARATCATTACAGGGGAAGATTTTGAACCTGGACCTTCCAAGACTTGAGCGACMGGAGTGTGTGCTGGACTATTAGATGTAAAAGAGTCACTGTCCTCAGCCAGGACAGGAAGGCCTGAGAGAGTTCGAGTCTGAGATTGACCAATGAAAGGAGATGCCTTTCTTGTAGGGGGAAGTTAGGTATTTCTAAATGTTAGCTAATATTTCTGCTGATGACCATCTCTCCAGAATAGTGGCTTTCTGAATTCTTAATTGCATTGAATGCTTCCACTGAATTCTTTTGTATTCAGTTCTGCTCACATGTTGCACAAACTCCCAGTCCTTACCTCCTAAACGTGCATTCTAGCAGGTAACAAGACTCCTACCCTCAGCATGCTCTCATGTTGGTCAGTGGGGGGACATCCTGTTGTGGATCACGCTGTTTGTGCCCAAGTCTTTTAGATAAGAGAATATTTATTTTAAAAAGAGCTATTAGAATGTTTATTTTGTATTCCAGTCCTGTATCTTTTGATTCCAATTTGTATTCTGTATTTTCACATTTGTATTCTGTTCGACCTCACACACTCAATAGGTACTTCAACTGACTGATAGATTCATGCCCCAATTAATGTGAATTCTTCAAAGCCCTTGCCAAAGTTACATGTGCTAACGCATCAGCATGTCGAAAGGAAGCACTCTGACATGCCAAATACCAAGCACAGTCTTTGTCCAAGCACAGATTACCCTAATACACGTTACTGACCTCGGTATGGAATAACCCTGAAACGACTGCCTCCTCTGCCCCAGAGCATTTCCAAGTCCTGAAGGCAGCCATTAGTGAAACTAGATCTTGCTGGGAGGGATTCCCCTGCAGGCAGCAGAACTCGCTCGCAGCTTCGGCCTGAGTCCTCTGTAGGGGCCTGTCGGGCCAGCAAGGCTGACAGGCCTCAGTCCTCCTGGTAGGTCTGTTTACGAGGCAGGTCCCAACAGACATTGCAGGTCACGGATACTCTTGGGACTGATACAGTCCTCAAAAACACGCAAGGAGGAGACYTTTCTTCACCAGTAAAAGCACTTTAGAGACAAGGTATGTCCTTGTAATGGATACATGGTCAAGAAAAAATTTAAGAGCACAGAAGACTATGGAGAAATAATGTTCTTCAGCTTGTACCTAGGTTGTCCCAGGGATTACTTTGCTTACCTTTAAAATCAACTGCATATTATTTTACCTCATTATCTTGATTTAATCTGTAATTATTCTATAAAAATAGCTACTCTTTTCCCTACTTAAAGATATCCTGGRCCATCAAAGAAGTTGCCAGTAATATTCATGATTTGGTGGTGACAACACCCTGTAGTTCTTCCATTTCTCACAAAGAAATCTGGTTCCAGTTGAAAAAAAAAAGTTGTTCATGAACAAAATCGAGCATCAAACCTGTCTCAAATGTTTTATCTGCTCAAAAGAATACCTATTTTCAAAAAGGAAGAKCATTAGCTGCCAGGAGATCAGTCCACAGCCATAGAATTTGCATTCCTTGTCTATTTCAAACATAAGATATAGATAAAATGTTACTGTTAAACACTATGTTTCCTCCTATATAACCAAGCACAACACCTGTTTAAAAGATCAGCAAGAGTGTGTTCTTGGTATAAATTACTGTCTGGTTTGCTCCCGTGACACAATCACAAGCTTTAAAAGTGCAACCCCAAACGCTACTGTGACTAAGTATGAAAACCAGACATCACTGAATAAAGCCATCACACGGAAACCTATTTGGGAGAGATATTGACTGAAGAGGGTGAGTAAATTTGCTATTACTAGAACTTGTCCTACTCTTACAAAAGGTAGTSTCATCATCCACCTTCATTGGGACTGTTAACAGTCCCAGTAACTAGTAAGTGACAGCACTTACACTGCACTCGTCACCTGAAGATCCTATAGGGCTTTACAAATCATGCAGCTGGCATGTTGTCCTCTGCAAACATCTTTTACAAATTTTGACCTTTCTGGAGTCATTTGTGAATGGACCCTATTTCACCAAACAAGTGATGATTCACAGCAAATGTTGAATAATTTAGATGAGCTATGCTTGGTCAAGGGTGGCTTCCAAGTACCTGATCTGCCGTTGATGGAATAATATTTGACATTTCCAAATTCACAAAGGATTTCTGAAGAGCAGAAATTTGCTACATAAAGGGAAATGACTGATGCTGTGGTTCATTCCCTTGGGCTGCTCCTCCACATGGACAGTTTCCTTGTGGCCATTCCCATTTCTGTGCCCCCCCCCCCCCCCCCCCCCCCAGAACTCAGGTAAATGGGATTTGGAGGCAGGAAGACAATGCTGATGCACCTGAGTCTCATTTGGGTGCTCACAAGATCTCAAGCTACTGGTTGATGTTTAAGGAGGCTTTGTAGTTCCCTCTGCCTTTCCTGGGCACAGGCCTTTTAATTTCACATTATGCTTTTCTTTGCCTGTCTGTTCCATGACTTGGGGAACAGATGAAAGAAATCTCCATCTCTCACGGGCAGTTCAATCTCAGCAGGAGTTGCTCTCCTTTCTGCACCTGCCCAGTCATATATTGACTCTAGCTGTACAAAAATGGCATTTCTGTGGACAGTGTTCTCATTCTCTTCTGAAGAAATGACAGCAACTGTTAACATAATTTTCGCCAAATGAGTTCCTTAAGAATATATTAGGTGACCTATCTGCAACCTCTCATGATCTTTCTGCTCAGTGCAGTATTTCTGGGGCTGTTACTTTGCTTAACTGCCATAAAGTACTTTAGAAGTGCAGGAGAATGTGCCCATGTTTGTTCTAGCTTTAATAAGCCCTTGTACTTTCGTGCTGAGATCGGTAACAAACAGTTTATTTGCTTTGCATTTTAATACTTCTCTAAAACAAGATGCAGARGGAAAGATTTTTTAAGCAATGCAAATAGAGAATAAACAACTCACAGAGTTCATTTAAATGTCATGAAGAGATTTTTAAAAGGCTTTTAAACTTTGCCTACCTCTTACATTTTTCTTATAATTTAGCTGCTCTTCGAAAGTATGTTCAAGAAGAAATAAACCTAATTCAAGTGTTCTGTTAAAAGACGTACAATTTTCTCTAGTSCAATATCTCACTTTTTTTTACTATTTGGCATGGTGAATTGGATGGCAACTTAATATGAGAAGCAGCCACTGCTCAYGGTCAGAAGCATCAAGTTTAAGAAGTCACCTCAAACTGAAGAGAACATGAGAATCAATGAGGGTGGTGGAATCATTTTGATAGAGATCCCTGTCAGTCAACAAATTTGTAAGTCCTAATTTAATTATGTTTATTTCCTAAGACCTAGAAAATCCTGTGTCTTAATTTCCTGTCAGTAAAAATAAAAGGTATTTCTTTCCTAAATTAAGTAAAGCTTACAATTTATTTTTATGCACCAGTCTTACGGCCATACATGTTTCAAGACAGGGAAGTTGTTAATGTTAATATTAAGCATGAGTGAAAATGTTTCACTAGAGAAGATTTAATGTAGCACCCTAATGGATTTTAATATTAGACTGTGTTTGGTTTCTGTGGTGCATACTCTTTTGTTGACATGATCCATTCCTGTCTTACAGCTGTACAAGTTAAAGCCAGAACAGACTTCTCCACCCCAGCTCCTTAGCCAATGCATCTATTCCCTATCTATTATCTATTCCCTAAAGGCCATTTCATTGGCATTACACACAGCAAAACATTCATCAAAAATCCTAAATGACTCTCCTCACCTTTGCTTTGCCACTTTCTGATAGTCAACCTAATCCTTCCATTTCAACATTTGGTGTCRTTATCTCTATTTAATCAGTCCATGCAGCAGAGCAAACCTGATGACTTCTTGGCCCTTGTGAAGGCAAAGGGAGTTTTGTCACAGGTATGACCATTCCTAAATTTAACCCTTGCTACTGACAGCTTCTGAAACTCATATCCTGAATTATTCATGGCTCATGTTCCCACCATTTTTCATTTAGTCATCCTATTATTCATCCCAGGTGAATCCTTTCAGCACCTTTAAGTCTCTCACCTGGACTTAGGCCAGTTTGTTGGCAATTCTCTGAGAAAATGGTGTATGGAAGTGAACCAGGAACCTAAGAGACATGACACATCATTCCTCTGCTCTGTGGGATAAATCTACAGAGATAAATGACTCTGCAAGGTTCAAGACTGTCACTATTGCTCCAYTGAGCTGCTCAAGAACATCCTTCTCACCGTCAATAATATTGGTTGACCCCTCAGAGAGCTTTCAGGCTTATAGCAAGAACTAGAGGATAGATGACAATTGTTTTTATTTAAGGAAAGTGGTTCAGCTCTACAGTTCTAGACAGGATTTAATGTAACTAGCAGATTTTAGTATTAGACTGTGTTTGGTTTCTTTGGTGTATCTTCTTTTTTTGACCACCTATAATAAAATCATTTGAGCTCTAAACACCAAGAAACATCACGTTTTCTGTCCCCCTTTTACCACAGAATAGCTGTACAAAGTGTGAAACATTTTTGAGTGAGATGGACGTGTTTAATTCATTGTTTGAAAGCAGACACTTAAGGGAAGGAGGATCAGCAGCCCCTTTGTCACTGTGGTGTAACATGCTGAGAGGAACGGAGTGCAGGGGATGAGGCTCAGGTACATTGCAAAGCTACCCAAACAGAAATGCCTTGGTGACAAAGTCTTCAGCTGTTATGTATCACACTAACACTTTCTGCTTATTTTTTTTTCCAGATATGCCCTTTCCTCCCACCTTCAGGATTTCTGGGTAGCCCTGGATTTTGTCTTACCTTGAAACGCTGCTGTGCCGCTTTAGTGTCCTCCTCATTTTCTTTTTGTAGCGTCTCCTTTGCTTGACAATTGTCCACATGGTAGCGGTGCGTCCTGAAATAAAGCAAGAATTGCCTCCACATGGATCAAGGAGAAGTGCTCTTCCTGAATCCAGGTACACGGTGACTTTTTCTTGAAGGAGCAGTAGTTCTATTTAACGATGAAACAAAACCAGATGCCAGACATTGGGCTGAAYGACAAGAGCATAGAGGTGGCTTGTCCTTACACCGGTGGGCAAGCGTGTGGGCCTCCCGCAGCCCGCTGCTGGTTTCCTGCAGTTCTGATGGCAAATGGATTATCTGCCCTGGGATATCTGCAGTGCCTCATCCTCTGTGCACCGGCCAGCTGGGAGATTAGACTTACAGCTTCACAGGTTTTAATAAATTCAAGAGGAAGAAAAGATTACAGCAGCTGAACACGTGTCAGAGAATGGGCTGTAACAACCACGGGGCACGTTTTAGCATCTCACAGCTACTGGAGCCCGTTTTCAACGTGAAGCAAGAAGCAACTGACCACGCAGTCGTACTCCGCAGACTCCAAGCGGAGATGCCTGTCTTAGGTCAGTGGGATCTGTCAATCTCCTTTTTCCTGACCGGCTGAACAGATGGTCTCGTGGTAATCCAGCCAGCCTCAATGAAAATACCACATTAGCAGCAGCAGCAGCAGCGATGTCTGCAGACAGAGACAAACTAAATATAAAGGCTAAGACTCCATGTAAGGTATTGATAGATTATTTCTCTTGCTGCCAGGTGTCTGCCTTCTATTTATCAACATTCATTCACCATTTATTTTTTCTGTGCTTTGAAATATGGAGGGAAAACACACACACGCACACAAAATCAGAAGGAAGGAAGTAAAATTGAATGATTGAGAACTTTTAATGAAAAAGTGTATTTAAACATTGCTTAAAATTCTGGTCACTAGTAGTTGTGTTATARTGAAAGCCAAGTGAGGGGGAACATTTCTTGTGGGGGAAAGCATTCAGAGCCTTTTATGAATTCTTGTCCTGGAGACATCAGAAATCATAAATATGTTAGTGCACCCTGAAAATCATCAAACTTTCATTGTATTCACGAACATTACCAAATCTAAGAATTTCATATTTTAGATTAGTATTTTCTCTAGAATTAGCTGAAACTTCCATGTGAGAAGTTACTATAAGCTGGCATCCAGGTGTGCTTCTGTTTTGAAAGTGTCAGATATTCTAACTATTTTGAAAGTTTCCAACTAATTCAAATTGAGAAATACGCCTAAACCAACATTTCTTTTTCCTGCCAGGAGTCAAAAGCTTTGACACTTCAGCAATGTAGTTACAAAGTATGGATAATGCCAACTGCATCTTGTCTCTTGTGAAAAGAGGTGCTTTGGATATATCTTTCTTTTTTTACAGAAATCCAGTAAGTGCCAAGGAGAAAAAAAATGAATCAAAGAGGAAAGAAAAAAACATCTTTTTCTCCCCCASCATTCGACCCAACAAACTGTACTGCACTAAAAATCACAGCCTATGAGGTATTCTGAGAGTACATCTGACTGTGGCACAATTACCCCTGAGATTTAAGTAACAACCTTCTTTTCCATCCTCTGACCAGACATACTGACCCAGCTGCACTGTGTAGTTCAGCTTTTCCCTTTACCTCCAAGAGGCCAGTGCTCCGACCTAGTCTTTTTTGTTTGTTTTTGGTTTGTTTGTTTGTTTTTGTATAGAGAGGATGAGGAAAGAGGATCTAGTGCTTTTTTATCTTATCTTTAGGCTGGGCTTTATTTCACCTTGTGCTGCCGCAGATTCCAGGAGAAGAACCAGCTCTTTCTAAGCGCCTTGTCCAACCAAATGCTGTCTGCACAGAGCAGCACAGCCTGATGGTGGGAGGAGGAGAGATGCTGTAGGCTGCAAAGTGRGGCTGGAGATGGAAAGATCCTACAGATTTCAATACAGAGATATGTGTCTGTGAGGCACATATGGAGAGGGAGACTCTTTGCTCCCTAAGATAATACACTCCCTTATTTTAACTTCAGTTCTATCAAGGTTGTCAATACAGCTAGGGTTTGGAGGGCTTTTACACTCCTGTTTCTGCATAGTAGTTAACTTCAGCTTTTCTGACAATATACCATTGTTCTGTTCTATTGGAGAAAAACACCTGAGGACGTATTCATTAAAATGAAATATTAATTTATTTTTCTGTTGACAAGACAGTTCCTATTGAAGATGACATATGTATTGGGTCTGAACATGCATGTATTAACTGAGCATGAAAATTTAATTTCAAAGAGGTTGTAAAGCAATCAGAAGATTGCCTGATATTAAACTTGCCAAATTGTGCTGTATTAGCTTTATGAYATCTTCTAGCCAGACACTCCTTATTAGAAAGATCTTGAGCAAATTTCTTTGTATTTCTTTATCTTCGTTTATCAGGTAAAAAAAAGATTCTCTACTTTACCTTAGAGCTGTACAGACATAACCACCGATGCTTAAAACATCTTCAAGTCTCACCCAGTCAGATTCCCTCTAACACTTCTTTCTTCTAAACCACAGAGATTTGAATCTTAGTTACTTCATCTTCTCTGTTGCTTCCTGTCTCCTGCTACATAATATAAATAATTAATAGATTTTGGAACTAAACAAAGTAACAAGCAAACAAAACAGGCTTAATTTAGGCACTGGTGACCAAGGGAATTTGGCACTTCGATCTCTGAGGAAAGAAAGGTCCTACTGTTGTAATGTACTCGTGAGGGCTTCATAGTGACAGTGGTGGGAAAGCAGAAGCCCGAGYGCTCAGATCTGATCTAGAGCCCTGGGTGAATCACCTTAAGGTAAAACGAGGTGTGTGTTTTAGGGATAGTAGTTCTTAAAGGAGAGACTGCTCTCTATGCTCACCTAGTGTGTGGGTACCATTTGAAAATGCCCTCCTTTTAAATTTTCTAAATTTTTAAAAATTTTTCCTCCCCAAGAAAAAAAAAACAACCCACTATCCAACTCACAAAGGTCCAAGGTAAGATTTTATGGAACGTGAACAAAGCATTTTTTTGTACTCCAAATTTCCATGTAGTAGACAAATTGATCACATCATTGCCATATTTGATTTTTCTATTTGTCATAATTTCCAGAATATATCAGACAATTACTGTTTTTATTACAAGATTTTTATTACAAAAAGGAAAAAAGAGAAAAATGTTCTCATGATCCAGCTGTCTGTAGCTTTACTGTGTGACTCATCTGTATCCCTAGTTTTTCTGGTATTAAACTATTTCATGTTTTTATTCTTTGTGATCCAAGCAATTTGTGACTGTTTTGCCTGCATGCTGATATGCGTTTCATTTGGTCTTTATGTTTTATATACCAAGAAGTTCATTTAAATACAGTAACATCAAATGAAACTGTTCTGCCAAGAGTTCATGGACAAGCATTGACATGAACAAGATTAGCTAAATGAGAATTGTTTTGCAGCACCTGAATCCTGGAGGATGGATATGCTTATCAAAAATGGGAGCACAGCACTTTTCCAATCACAATCTACAGCAAGATGCAGTTTGGAGAATCGAGAAACATGGAAACATGATTTATGCACTATGAAATGTGCGATGAAACATCAACCATAGCACTGAATGAAAATTGTCAGATGTGCCTAAAAGTTTGGCAAACTGGGAGAGAAGGGTGCTGTAAATCTGCAGTAGACGCAGCACCCTGTGGCAAGGAGCTCCCCAGTTTAACTGAGCACTTGGCAAGGCAATAGCATCTCTTTTTGCTTGGTGTGAATCTTGGCCCTACTAGTTTTACTTCATGCTCCTAACTTGGGTAGCGCAATAGCCAAAGATAGTCATTCTCTCCCCGCGCGCCTTGTCCACCTGATTCCTGATTTTATAGATTGTCATAGTTTCTCTTAGTCATCTATTTCTTGGACTAAAGAGTCTTTTTTGACTTAGCTGATCCTCAAGCTGAGTTTATTCCAAAACTCGATCCTGTGTGCGACCTCTCCTTTTGACACAGTAGAGGTTATTTTTCAAGAGCCTCTCCCTTCAGATACACCTTGCAGGCTGCATCAGCCAGATGGACTCTACCTTGTTTACRTGTATTTTGTCTGCTTCAAATAACTTAATTAACTTAAAGAGTTGTGAGATGTAACTGTCCTTTACAAAGCTGTGGTGACCTTTGGTTAGTCTCGGATTTATTTCTTCATGCAGTGCATTGTAGGGGACTGTATTGTTTGTATTCTCTACTACAGTGTATTGTTTCCAATAATTTGATTCTCTTTATATGCATTATATAGATATCACATTTACCATTCGATAGTTCCTTTAAATGCCCTACAGAAATTGTTAAAAATAATGCAATTAATTATAATTATTTCTCTTGTCTTTACGTTTCTCCTCCGACTAATTCAGTGGATGACTTTCGGTCATTATGTCTTACTAAAAAAGTTACAGGAAAGTTATAGTTAAAATAATTTTTACTGTAGAAGCTCAAARGCCTGTGAAATGAATAATAAACCTACAACCTGCCATTTTTTATGGCATAATCAAAATGGCAAAACACAAGAAGTACAGTAGTGATCAGAATTCAGACTGCAAATAGCAAACTGTTTTCTTTTAGCCAGGCTGAGTGGATGGTGGTGGAGTCTTGCACATASTGTAAACAGACCAAAAAAAAAGTCTGTTGTAAATGAAAAGACAGGTAAGTAACARATTTCTATTGATACTGTGTGGAGATCCGTACACTGGATATTGGTAATCGCACAAGCTTTTCTTATTAATATATGTCAGCAACATGCAAGAATACAGACATGTTAGATTAAACTTCAAAGTATCATATGTTGGTTAATCCACAGAATCACATTAATGGGTGTATATTACATAGGAGTTGACACAGTGTGCAGACTGCTTAAAGAGCTTTATTCTGTTAGAGCACAAAAAATGAGATTACCAATGCTCTTAATTGGACTGTACCTGTATTTAAGTCAAGATCGTATTATCAAGAAATCAAGATTTTTCTTGAAGTATGGACAATTTTAAAAGAAAACAAGATTTTTATGGAAGGACTATAACTAGCTTTAATCAGCACATAGTAATGAAGATCTGTCTTTGCTTATGGGCAGCTAACAGTGCATCTTAGTGTACCCCGCTATAGGGAATACAGAGGCCCTAACAAAACGAGAAGTTAACTGCAGACATCGCTAAGCTCTAAATTGGCTTTGTCAGTCTGCTCGCCCACAAAGCTCGCCGTGACCTATTTTTCTTTTCCATGTCTTCCCCCCTTGATGGCAGTGCCACTTTTCAGGATCATTTCTGATTAGAGAGTGCTTAGCGAGCTCTGCGTCCTTCATCACAGTGCGGCTTGAAAACTTTGCCCAGCAGCTAGAGTGAGTTTTTCTAGTAAATGTGGAAGCTCAAGTTTTTGAAAAACTGGGGCTTTCAGTTTGAAAACTTTCTTTTCAATCTTCTTCTCATTTTCAATCTTCTTTTGCTTGTGAAAATGAACCCCAACATACACCGGGTGTTTTTAAAAGCAGAAGAAACTGCGCAGGGAATTTCTGCGGATGAGACGTGTGTGGAGCGGGAAGAACCAAAGGGAAGTCTAGGTTGCACACCCTGCTGAGATGCCCACCAGGTTCCTTGGTACCAGGAAGGCTCAAGAAGCCGCTCCAATAAACGCAAGGGAAACTGAGGTGCTTTTCATTAGCAAACAGCACACACAAGCATCTGTGTGGGCCCCTGCTACAGAATTATGCCCTATATAAAATCACAGATCTATTTTTAAATGTATCGATAGTTAATATATGAATATAATAAGCACATATGCCTTTCTGAATGTGTGTATATATATATATATATTTCAATACTGTGGTTACACGCCTGTGTATACGTATAAACGCACACGCACCCCGGCCGCGCCACGCGCAGGGCGGAGCGGAGGCCCCAACGGCCGCCCCCAACGKCCGCCCTCAGGAGGCCACGCCCCCTGAGCCCTGGGCGGGGCGGGCTCTGAGGGCCCTGAGCCTTCGAGGCCGCCGTCGCGGTCAGGTGCGCGCTGTCACGTGGCCGGCAGCGTCACGTGGGTGCGGCGGTTGCTGGCAGGGGGGCAGGGCGGTCGTTAACGGTCGCTTCAACGGTCTTCTCAGCGTGGGGAGGGTAGGGTTGGTTCCGCGTCTCCCTTGCTGCAGTCAGTTCCTCGGTCTGGAGTCGCTGTTTCCCGCGGTGAAGGGTGCGGGGCTGCGCAAGGACGTGCCTGGCCGTCCTTACCTTCCTCCGCAAGCAAGCGCAGCCCGGCTGGCCCGGCSCGGGTCGGGAGCGGGGCTGCTGCAGCCGGATCCCCGGCCGCCGCCAGCAGCCTCCGTGTTTTGGCAGCAAAGGCCGGGCGGGGGCCGAGCCATAAAGGACGGGAAAAGCAGAAGTGGTGAAGGTCACTGGCGACACTCTGGGGTATGTCCGCGTAAGCAGCATACAGGGCTCGATTTTTTTCCAGTAGTCTGTTCATGGTAATGGCGATATAACTTATTTTTCTCTTAATCTAAATAATTTAATTCTTCGTTTATGTAACCTGTAGGCTTTTTTTTTAAAGTTATAGTTCATGTAGTTTTAGCTAATGTCTAAGATAATCTTTCCTATCTTATTAAAACTATCTTATTAGCTGTATTAGACATCCTAGCTATTGCTAAAAAATATTGCCAGCAAAGTATGGAGGGGATATGTTTATTTGGAACATGGAAATGAAATGTAGCACCTTGTTTTTATTCSTGCTTGAAAAGGAAAACAACCTTTTTTGGGTAGAGTGCCATGAAAATCGCAAAAGAGTAGTAGGTTTTAATCAAGTAACATCAAACAATTGCTTAATTGAGAATGTATAAAAATTGTTGAGTCCTAGTGTACTTCTTATTTTAGGAAGTGATTAGTTAAGGTTTGGTGTGTATATATTGCTACGTTCTGTTTGCTTCATGGAAGTCAAACTTTAAAACTGTTTTTTTTTTTTTTTTTCAGTAAATACTAAGTGCAGTTTTAGGGAAAGCTGAATCTGTTTAAGGATTTTGTTTTTTTTTTTTTTTTTTTCAGTAAATACTAAGTGCAGTTTTAGGGAAAGCTGAATCTGTTTAAGGATTTTGTGAAGAGAATGTTTAAAATCTTTTTTTTTTTTATTTTCCATGAAAATAAATATTGGATGGGTACTCTTTAGTAGTGATTCTCAGATCTGCTTTGTTGTGTTTCTAGGTGCATTTTAAATAGCAGTTAAAATGGATATTCGAGGTGCTGTGGATGCTGCTGTTCCAACAAACATCATTGCTGCCAAAGCTGCTGAAGTTCGGGGAAATAAAGTGAACTGGCAGTCTTATCTTCAGTAAGTAAAAACTTAACACAAATTGCCAACATTAACTGAGTTGTGGTGAGTGTTGAGGTGGAGAGGAAGGGACACTTTTTCTCCTCTTTCCTTTTAACATGTTTAAAGTGTTTTGGGTTACAGTGGAAAACTAGATTACAATGAGTAACATTCTGTTAGGGTGCCATGAAAGTAATTGGAAAAAACTCCACCATTAAAGGGAACAGTTAGGGAAAACTTCCTTCTGGCTTACTGGTAATAGCAAAGGTAACTTTGCTATTTTAAATTGAGCACTGTGCAATAACAAATAGTATAAATCTGTAAAAATGCATAGTAAAATTCTTTTCTCCTTAGTGCTCGAACACTACCTGAAAATATAATTTTATTAGCCAAGTCCAATTAGAGCTAAATTAGTTCTTTTCTGTGGTAGGAGATGTGTTAAATGCTGGTGTATATATATCCTTTTCCTGCCAGAGATAAGCTTTTGCATAGATACAGATTGTACTAGCAAAACTGGACTTTGTCTGGCCTTGCAAAATTAGGAGTATTACTACAGTTATTGTTTAAGTAAAAATAGTGCTGGTTTGCAGTTGAAGCACATAGATCTGGGCAAAGACTTCAGTTTGGGGAGACCTATGCTGCTMTTGCAGAGGATTTCTGAATTTATTTCTGGAGGTGCACAGTAGCCTTGGAATAGGAAGAGCAGTTTAGTCCAAAGAGGGTACAGGGATAAGCTGGGAAATAGGTTTGTGAATGGCATGGGAAGAAGGTGAAGAAACTTTTACTAGYGCTCTCCCCTCTGTACTCTGAAGTGTAACTATGAGGTTCTTTAGTCCTTGTGTTCCTCCTGAAAAGTACCTACCTGTGAGGAATATTGGCAAAGTGTGAATGAGTTTCATCCCTTGAGGGTTCATACATGACAGCGAACTACTCCCCTCTTAGTTGCTTCATAACCGAAAGTACAAACCATGCTGCTGGTGTTTTGCTGTTACCAGAATCATGCTACTTCAAAAGATTCTTTCAGAGTGCTCTGTGTGTGTGTGTGTTTTAATACAGGAATGTGTGCATAGCCTGTTCCATATTGTAAGAAAACCTGCAATACCAAACATAGGCAACTGAGAAACACTGCCATAGATGCTCATTAATAACTGCCTACCTGTGTTATAGGTAGCCTAGTTTTGCCTATTCCATTCATCCATCTCTATYACTTACCTCCTTTTAATTGTGTATCTGCATATTTAACTGCATTAAGGAGCTGATCTGCTGCGGAAAATTACTTTTTCTAGGCTGTTTTTCAGTTCCTGATTCACAGATCAGTTCCTGGTTCAGTTCATAGTGCAATGTTACAGGCAGGCAAAAGAACAGCAGTGGTGCCCTGGCTTTGCAGGGACAGCTGTCAAACACTTGTCAAACTGCCGAAATGGCTTCACAGTTTGTGTGCCATGTTGTCTACCTAGCAGGAAGAATGTTTTGGGGGAGTCTGGGCTCCCATTCCTGGAATAGTGGCCATTAGCAGAGCTCATTTGAGGTTGATACTGAACGGCCCTATTTCCACCATTATCTTGAGTAATCTGGTGGGCATGGACTAGTCTTTTCCATGGAGTCTCTGGTAGTTAAGACTAACAGTTAGTTAAGACTAAAGGTTGATCTTTTGCTCGTGCAGGTTTGGTTGTGTCTGTCCGTGAGCTTTGCTTTGAATATACATGTGGGATTCGTTGMCTGTCTTTGCTTTTTGTGGATCACTGTTTTTAATTTAGCTTTTTTTGGCAGCTCTAGTGTTGGATAAGGTTATCTATCAGCAATTTTCAATGCAACATTTTTTTGACTGGAAAGCAGGGTTTTTTTTTTTTTTTTAATTCTAGGTGCTAAGTATGACACTATCCTCTGTGGTCTATGGGGGGGAAAAAAAAAGAAAAACAATCCATTACTTATTTTCTTTCTTTAAAAGGCGACCCATGTTAGCTGGGTTTGAGGGGCTACTATAGTGTATCTTGGTTGTATCTGTGAATTTGTTGTGGCCTGGTCAATGTTTGGTGCCCTCAGGATGCCAATGACAGTTGGTCTTGTTTATTATTCCTCTGAAATAACTATAATCTCTGTTCTTATTTACTGGTAACAGCTTGGCTCCTTGTTTAAGGCAGCTGCAAAGTTGGAACAGAAGTGGTGCCAAGAAACTGTCGACCATTGTGAGGAAAACTGAATTTCCCTGGCAGTGTGGTTTGCTTGTGAGTTATTGCTGACAAATACCAGCAGAATTTGGTTGCTTCTAAAGAGGAAACATTTGAAACTTTTTTTTTTTTGAATATATCTCTCAAAACTACCAAGTTTAGCTACAATAGCATCTTTGAGGCAGATGCCCTAATGGAATATTTGAAAGAGTCAACTAGTGCAGATGTAGCTGCAGCTATATTTGCTGATGGTTTTTTGAAATGAAGCACATCGTGCCAGAGGGACACCTGCTTTGGTGTACCTGTTAGAGGCAGGTCAAAGTGGATCATGAGTTTCTAAGAGTAGAATTCTAGGAAGCTTAGTGGCTTTAAAAAAGAACACCTGCCTGAAAAGAGCTGTTTTGCTGAAGGCAACACGCCAAGTCAGGCATGACAAAACTTATTTTCCTTAGACTAGACAGTATTTGTGTGACTTGAACCAAAAAAATTAAAAAATAAAACATGTTACTTTATCTTTTTGTGGTGGTTGTATGTAATCTTTAAAACATCTTTGTATATGTCAGTTGCAGTAAAGTTGGAGCCTGAGATAGGGGCTTCTGAATTTCCTTTTGCTGTGCTTGCTCCTCAGTGCCAAAGTAAAACAACTTAAGAGCAAGTCAGGTTCTAGCAGCAGCCCTACTTTCTCAGAGTCAGTGCAAGCTAAAAATTAACTGGCACACTGCTTATTCCACCTCTGAAGGTTATTACTGTAAGCTAAATGTCAAACTGTGCCAACTCCCAGTTCCTGACTTGTTGTGTTTTCTGTGTATACTGTTGGCAGAGAAAAGTGCAATATTTAGGTATGGTAACAGTATATATTACCTATGTTTCCTGCTGTGTTCATTGCTCACTTGAAACGTAGGCTGTGACAGCTGGGGAAATCTTGGTGCTTTAAAACTATGTTTAYTCTAGGTTGAATTCTAGCTGTGGTTTGTGTCTGAGGGAGAAGAAACAAGCCTTGAAACAATGGAAGATGATGGAGGTATTTGAGCTATTTTGGAGAAGCTCAATATAGTTGTGATCTTTAGTTCTTCTGTACAGACTTTTCTGCCTTTTTATCCCCAAATTTCTAAAACTTTTGAGGTGTTGATTCCTGCTGCTAGTTGAACATGTGATATGTCACTTACATGCTGTAAAGTTGCTTTCAGCATTTACCTTGGGGCATCAGAATGAATACACTTGTTGAGCACACACTTGAAGCTTAATTTTGCTTTATAAAAAGACTCTAAAGGTGGTAAATGAGGTCTTTGGAAAAGTATGCTCTTCAKGATTTAGCTTGCATCTTACTGCACTGTAGACTGCTATGCTTCATAAACTCCGTTGGGCAATACTTGTTTAATCAGGTGATATTCATAGCGACTCGTTTGTGCTTGGATTCCCAAATTTAAGTTGCTTTGCATGTGTTTGTGAATTCTAATTTTTAAAGTATTACTCTCTGTTTTAGTTTGATGGAGGTGGGGGAAATGAGAAGGAAAAAGATAAGGGGAGGTCAGGAGGGAAAAAAAGCAGCCTTCTGAGGTGATTAATCTCCAAATCAAAAGCAAGTTTTCCCTTAGGAAGGTAGATGTCTCCCAACTTGTGGCATGTGGCTTTAGTTGGTCAGATTTTTGTCAGTAACATCTCAAAATTAAAATGGGATGAATATAGAAACTGTTAAGCAGCTGAATTGACTGGATATCCTTTAGGTACATGTAAAGTATTGTAAATACTTGGGTGAAAAAAATAATGCTTTGACATGATGATAGGCAGCTCTAATAATGAGTTTCTCATTTGCTGAAGATGGATTCAAGAAYAAGAAAGTCAGGAATGACTTCTGCTAAATCATTCAAACAAAAAAGGAACAGCAGTTACTGGAGGAAATGCATAATAAGAGGAATCACAGGTTTCTGAATCATGTTTTATGYCTACGCTTAAAGGCACTTTCAGAAAGTGTCTTTTTGAATGGTGCTTATAAACCAACAAATAATAAGCCCAGTGTTCTCATCTGCTCATGGCAGTGCTAGTCCCTGTACTGCTCCTCCCTAGCTCCAATGTTGGATGGAAGCAAGGAGCTTGCAAGCTTTTTCCTTGACTACTGGCAGACCCCTTCTAATAGCCTAAATAACTGTGGCTTGTTTTGAGGCTTTCTTAAAGCTTAAAATTGTGGTTCTTGCAACTCTACGATGGTCTTAGTGGTATCTTTAGTCATGGAACATTTGAAAACTACTGTGGAACTTGGAAAAACTAGCTTGAAAGAATCCACGGGACATAGCTTTGAAAAGTGGAGGAGGCRTCTGATTCAGTGGAAATGTCAGTGGAGATAAGTCTTGGAAACATTGAAGCCGAGTCCTGTGCAATGCTTCTGTAACTTTTTTTAATTAATAGTTATACACATAATTTTTTTTTCTGAAGCACCACTGCTATTGACTAGCAATGCTGGTAACCTGTTAAAATCTTGGATTTTGCCTACTCATTTGTAAATCAGTTTTCATATTTAAACTTCATGTTTGTACTATTTTGATTTGTTTTTCTTACAATGAAAACTTACCAGMACGCTAAATAACAAACAAGTTTGCTAACTGTTCAGTTTAGCCAGCAGCTTTCTACATTGATGTCCGTAACTGCCTTAGTATTTATTTTCTTAAATCAACTAAGAAGATGTGCTTATAGTGAACTGCTAGGCACTTACCTTTAGCTCTTTTGCTATGTGTTTGGATAAGCTTGCATGTTGATTAACTTCAACATGGAAAAGTGTAGCTGTATTAACCTATGAAAGCTAAAAATATTTTGGGAATCAGGTGCTTTGTACTCCTTAAAATTTTCTTTTTTTATAACAGACAAAGTAATACTTCATTTTAAGCAGTTATTTTAGGTTGGATTAGTCTATTATTCATATCATGGATTATAACTTTGGCACCAATATGCTATTTCCTGTGTTTGGTTCTTTCAGCTATTTCCACAGACCATCTCTTTCAGCCTGTCCAAATCTAACAATGATTTGGAGAATGCTGTTGGGTAATGGAGATGGGTAGGAAAGGGATTGTTCTGACATTAGAGTTTCAAATTCTTTCCACACAAGATTCTTGTAAGAGAAGAAGTTTTTATATTCTACTATGAGACAGAGAGTAAAGTGATAATATTGAGATACCAAACTGAAGAAAATAGGATTGAATAACTTACTGTGTGTGCATCTTATGATGGCATGATTTTCTTTTCTTTTTTCCAGAGGGCAGATGATTTCTGGTGAAGACTGTGAATTTATTCAAAGATTTGAGCAGAAGAGAAATCCAGAAGAAAAGCGGGAGCTGTTGCAAACAGAAGGCAATCAAGTAACTTTTCTTCTAAAAATCTCTTTTTAGAAAAGGAGAATGGAGGGAAATTCATGCCAACTGTACTCCAGCACTCAACATTTTTGGTGTTCAACTTAGTATTGTGATTCAATTTGTTAATGTAGATTGACAATTATTTTAAAAACCTATAACATTATTGTAAGTTATTAAAGGTCATCCAACTGCAGGAATCTGTTGTGGGACATACTAGCTTAAGTCTTTCCTCAGTCCCAGTTAACTTTTGTACATGTCCATACTTCAACCACTTAGTTTTGAGCTATCTTCCCTATAGTTTATTGTTGAGAGCTACTGCCAGTATTTCCATTCAACTAAATGGACAATTATAGACAAATTCTGTCAGTGCATCCCACTGATTGATAGAGTGGATTCAGTTATCTTAATACAGGTCTAGTGGCATTATAGACACTAAGATGCAAGACATCCACACTGAACAGGGATGATAGCAGATTGGTGAAGGTGAGCAATGATGTTCAGCCTGTGACCCAACACCCAGGACACCCAAAGGCACTTTAATGATACTCTAAGCAGTAGAGCCTCAACGTTGAAGCCTGAGGTTCTAACAAGCAATATCAGCTCCCATATGAGACGGAGAGCTGTGGAGGTGAAAGTAGGAGATATGCTTAAAACCCACAGAACTTCCTGTTTCTTTCTACTTTGATTTGTAGGCTATCTGTTTTGACTTGTAGTATATGATTGGTATATAATGGACCATAATGTGCATAGTGGCAGACTTGTGTATGAACTTTGCGTGCTACTATCTAATTACAGTTCATAGTTAAATTTTTATTTCAGCTTTAGTTGAATCTAGGGAAGGAGGAAGTATAGAAAACAATGTTATGACTATTTCAGCTTATGAAAAGTTATGACTGTTTCGGCTTATTTCTTGCTGAAATGGTAATAACTTTCCATGAAATGGTTTGAATATGAACCAAAATGTCTAGAAGGTATAGGAGTTGAACAGGTAAGTGTTTTTTCCTCCTCTTTCATCTGAGTTGCCTCAGCTTTCTCATGACATGTCTAAATTTCTGAGTGTTTTTTTAATTGTTTATTTTATTCCAATTATTCTCATCCTTACTGCCATATAAGAGTACTCCRTGGAGAATTTTTTTCTAATCATCCTTTTAACAAAGCACCGTGAAAAACTTTGCCAATTTCTTCTAGGGAGTATTTATGGTCTCTGAAAGCCAGAAAACTTTTTTTTTTTTTTTTAAGGTAATTGATGCTGCAGAAAACTTTCTCTATAATGTAATGCCAAACATACTCATTTCAGTTGAACAAGACACTGGGATGCTTRATGCTTCTTTAAGACTTAACTATGAGTTAATGAGATCCTGTATTATCAAAGGAATGAAGACAATTGTTAATATTAATTTTCATGTCTTTTATTTTCTAGTGTGCTAAAACATTTATAAACTTGATGACTCATATCTCCAAGGAACAGACAGTTCAGTACATCCTGACTATGGTTGATGATACGCTGCAAGTAGGTCAACAACCTATCTCACTCTTAAGTCTCTGAATGAGGGTGTAGTTAGTGTAGTTCATGTCTCTTCAGATGTTTGTCATACTGTATTAAAAGTATTATTTTAGGTYTTCAGGTCTTGTATGCAGAAGTTGAGTGTCAGAACGAAGGTTTTACRGGTGGCTTTGGCTTTTTTTGTATGTGCTTGTGCTCTGACTCACAGATCTGTATGCTAATTAGTCTGCTGTCAACCTTGATTGCTGCAACAACTTAGATGTTTAAGGATGATTTGTTACCTTAGTCCTTCTGTTCTGTAACTAGCATATGATCTGCAACTTACTTGAAGTTTTTCTTGCAGCTTCTCCTACAGAAGTGTTAATTTGGCTTCCTTCAGCAAGAGGTTGCAGTTCCTATAGCTTCAACTTCCCCAAACCAGTTAAAATATTGAGACAATGTGCCCTGGAATACTTGTAGTTTAATTGTAGAATGGGAACTCTTGGGTCTGTGAAATACTCTGTAAAAGAATATTAGTATTTTAAAATAGAGACTTTTTAGCTATGGGTTACAGTGACTTGGAATTTAGGATATAGTGACTTGGTGACTGCTGTGCTGACCTGGCCATCTCAAGAGCAAACTTGATTCAATCAAATAATTCTGCTTCTGCTGTTTTTTTCCCCTTCGCAGTAGTGAATGAGAAGGGGTTTGGAGCAATGACCTGACGAGATGGGCTGAGCTGTGTGAGCAGTTCTCCCTCTTGCCTTCCCAGAACATTTGGTTCCCTGAGGGTCAGTTTCTCTTCTCTTTCATGATGTACTTCTTAACACAAGATAACAGAAGCATATCCAATAATAATAGTGTTTGAGGACGTTCCCTTAAGAAACAGACTGTATGGGTTCTAATTTCAACTCTGAATGTTCAGTATTGTCAACAGGCAAGATGGAAAGTGCAAATCTCCCCCAAATATCTAGAATGTAGGGATTGTGAWGTTTTGTGGGGATAGGGAGCTGGTCCATCCATTCAAGTCATACTGCAGCCTTTCTGCTAGTATCTTAATATTAAATAGCAGTGACCCTACAGCTTGAGTGTTAGTTAGTGGTGGTAGTTGCAGTGGAAATTCACTGCAGAATTCACTATCTTTTCTCTTTTCAGTCTGACCCTGTTCTCTTTTTTTTCTGCTTTTTTTCTTCTTGTTCCAGCATCTTTTCTTATAAACTTGATCATGATTCCAAGATTTCTTTGAGTGACTAGTAGAACTGAGATTAGTGTCATAATTGCCATATGAGAATATAACTACTCTGTTTATGAAGATTATTTTGCATCTTAACTCCCTAGTGATACACTTCATAGTCTAATTATATGATATATATTTGTAACAGTTTCTCTGCATTGACCCTTGTCTCGCTGCATAGTCTCTGATATTTATAACAGCTTTAAGAGCCCATGCAGTAGTCAGTGCAAGTAGCTCACTGGGGTGGTGCTGCTTTGTTAAATTTTTTCAGAAATGACAGATGCTAAGTTAATCAACTGCTGATATTTCAGAATTTCCTTTTTACCATTTTAGTCAGTGGTTGCCTAGAATGGAACTGCACTTCGTATTTCAGGGTGATAGGTTTTCCTGTGTTTTCTTCCTGTCTTCGTCTCATACCTTCATCAAGCCAGACTAATCTAATTGACAGTGTGATGAAATTATTTCAACTTTTCTGCTTCCAGACTTGTCTGTCTCCTGCTTTGCTCCCGTCTTGTAAACCGATCTTGTGATCTGGTTATTTCTGGTCTTCTTATCTAGGCTGTGTACAAGACAAATGTAGATGTTAACAGCAATTTGATGAAACTGTCATTTTTGATAAAACTGGTGCTCACAAAGAAGCTGAGGCTCCCTGTGTTCCTGAGACCTTTTATTTTTATTTCATAGTTTGAGAAACACAAGTGGTTGTTTTGTTTGTTTGGTGGGTGTTTTTTTACCTTTTTTTTTTTAATGTGCTTTGTGTTAGATGCCATGTAAAATGTTAAATATGCAAACTGGGAATCAAATCCCTCTGAACCTGCGAAGCTTAATCACTGTCAGATAGCTAGGGACTCCTGACTCTCCTGGTAAGTGATCAGAATAGGTATTTGCAGTACATGTGGTACAGGTAATTTTGGTACTTCCAAGGAAAGGTTGCAATTCTGACATTCAGTCAATGCCAATGTTTGAATTGCAGATACATTCAGGTAATTTTGTGCKTTAACAGGATTTTTTTCCAACAAACAGGCTTGTCCTGCTGATTCTTGGTTCGTGGTGTTAATAATAGGGTGTCATGTCACGGGAGGAAGCCCTTTCAATTAGAGKAGTTTGAAAAAATTWAAAAAAAAGCAGAAATGGAAGCATTCTCATATTTTTGAATCTCCTAACTGCAGGACTGTTTGGCTACAAACCATTTCTGTCTTCCTTGATATGTGTTGCAGGTTTGGTTGTAGTGTCTTAACTTCAAGGGGAGACATCTTTTTAGGGTAGACAGCACATGCCCTAGGCTGAGGGGTAGGCAGTGGGGCCAGGCAGTATGTGGAGTTGCCTCAGGTTGAGGCAAGCTAGGAGTGCAAGCTATTTATTGTTTGAGTGTGGAGAAGAATGTGTGTCTGACGGRCTATTATGAAATAAGAGCTGCTCTTCCTCCTCCAGGTTTGTGTGGCTCCTCCTCTGGTGTCCTTTAAGGAGAGCCTGCATTGCTGCTTTGCACAGTGCACCTCAGGTGAAATGCTCAAAGCAATTGTGGGTAGTTTCTTTGAGTACCTCTGGCATCTTGTGTTWCAGTCTAGATGCTCTGGAGAACAGGATTCCTAGAGGTCATAGCCACTAGGAGTAGCCCGAGTTTTCAGGTAACCTGAGGTGACAACTGCACAGCTACAGGTTCATTCTGGAATGGACGAGTTTGCCCTCCCAATGGGAAGAATAGTCATGAYCACCTTCCATTTCTGAATTTCCACCAGTAGCTCTCCYCAACAAGCTGAGCAAAGGGCTCCYGTRTGGAAGTAACAGCACAGGGAGAGCTTGGCTTCTGTTCAGGAGTAACTGGAAGARTCTTTTTTTCTCTGTGAAGACAGCAGCTAATCTTTCAGTCTGACTGATCAAAAACATTTATGCAACTTTATGCAAGCAAGGGTTGGATTATGAGATAAGCAGATTTTGAGTTTGACTTTCCCCATACTTCTTCATTTCCAATGTGAAGAGCACTGAAATAGGTTGTATGCATGAGTAGTAGGAGTCAACCTGAGAAAATTGTCAATGGTCTACTACGATATGGATTCACTTTAACAATATACGGGGGCAAATAACTGCCTCATGCTGCATGTTTTTACAAGTCTGTTTTCTCTCTCCTTGTTTTTACAGGAAAATCGTCAACAYGTTTGTATCTTCTTTGATTATGCCAAGCGTGGCAAGAACACTGCGTGGTCCTACTTCCTGCCAATGCTGAATCGCCAGGACCTCTTCACTGTGCACATGGTATGCTGTGACCTGGCCCTCCACCTGGTAGAGAAAAAGAGTGCAAAATAAACTGTTGCCTTGGTTGAAACTTTTCTTGCACTCTAAATACATTAAGCATGATGTGTAAGCTTCACTTGACCTCTTCTTAATAAGAAATATGTAGGTTGTTAATGTTATGCTTTCTGGGAAACTACAGCAGATGGTAAGGACTCAAAAAAAAAGCAAGGATTTTAGAGTTAGTAAATTAGGTATAGTTATTGGGAAAAAAAACTTTTGTAACAATTACCAGCCAGCATTGTTTAGGTTTTACAAATATTGGAATTTAASCCTTTCCCAAGTGAAAAGGGGTTATTGTTATATTTCTGATCTTGTTTTCTCATATGCATAAATTACTGCTGCTTGTGACCTGCTGTGAATGGGCTGTAAATATAAGAAGAAAGAAAGAATGTCATTAGTGCATTATSTGGTGTCTAGTGTGCTTTGGGTCAGTGGCTGCTGCTGGTGTATAKGAATTAACTTTAAAGTAGGTCTAACAGCAAAATTAACATTTGGAATTCTTCTTATTCCTCTGTTACCAGTGCTGAGAACTGTTTATTTTATCTCAACYTCTTTATCTGAGGAAATATATTACTGTCAGTTCCTACTGAATGCTATAGCTTGTGCTGTTATGGTTTTGAGGACAAAAGCTGTGTGACTATGAACTGTTCTTCAGTTAATGCAGGTTTATGCTGACACAGTCCAATTTAAAATAAATAAATAAATTAAAAAAAAAAAATCAAAAAAGAGGAGTGGAGAGAGCATACCAGGTCTGCCTTGGGCTCTGATGGCAGCACTTGTGCAATGGATTTTAGCCAAGGGGAGCTTTGGCCCCTTAGGTATGGCCAGTGCTATTGTGTGTGCGACTGTTGTGGCTGAACAGTGAGCTAGCCTGTTTTCAGGGGAAGTGAAGTGTCCCACAGGCTTATGTATGTGTTTTAACCTTACTGGTTCACTAACTGGCTTTGCAAGCATTATTTTACTGTTTGTAGATGTGTTATCCAGTCATTGTCATGTTTTGCTGCCTCAAATATGTGAATACATTTCCAAATTTGAGAATCTCATGCAGTATGAATCTGTTTTAAAACATCAGTTTACTGTTTTTATCTTACCTAGCTATGCATATCTGCGGGGGTGTTTTGAAGCCCTTTTAAAAAAAAAGGGGGGGAACGGGGGTAAGAGAAATATAATTTTAAGCTTCTGTTGGTGTGTTTTATTTCTTAGTGCTTTTGTTTTTTCCTCTTCCCTGTGCAGAAGACACTAATGCCACATTGTGTCTGCRCAGGCCCRYCAAAATGTCCTCTCTGTCTAGGCCCAGGCTCTTAAATATGAATGATTTYTGTTTTGGGGCCAGGTAGCAGTTCTAACTCTGAATCACACCAACCTACAGTTCTGCTATTTCATGTTTAAGAGCCAAAGGGACGTTATGGGAGTGCTCAACCCCACTGGATTATGTCAGGTCCTTTTTTTGAATGAACAGGTCTCTTAACCAGATGTCTCCCCCGCTCCCTTCAGAAATCTGCAATGGTGCCACACTTGCATATACTGCAAAGTGGAAAGGTGCCTAAAATAGTCTCATCGTTGCGTCAAGAAGTTCTGTTGAGGCAAACTAACCCTTGCCTCAGTAGTTCCTTAGCTAGACTGCTTTAGACCCGGCTTTAAACATTTTTGCAAATACTATGCAGGCTACAGGATAGTCACTTAAGTTAATATGGATAAGCTGGCATGGAAACATTCTTTTGGTTTGTCTGTATTCTTACTGTAGACATCAGGAAAACTTGTCTGACTTTTTTTCTTTAACTTAATTCTTCAATGAGTTCATTTTCTTTATTCATTTTCGGCTCTTTTTCTGGGCTTGAATCTTCTGCCTTCCAGATGATTACTTACTTCAGTTGAAGAACACAACTGTTAATGCTTTGTGATGATTTGCATCAGTCTGTGCCGTAGTTGCTTAAAGTAAGCGTGCTAAGTAGGCGATAGAGGAAGCTCCCAAGTCAGCGATTTGGAAATCAGCGAAACGAGGAGGGAAGACTTTCTCACAATGGCTCCTGCTGTAGGACACTCAAAGTCAAAAATCCACCAACAATGAAACCCTTCATCAGATGCAGGTGTCTGATAACTTTGTGACAATACATCAACTATTGGGGAGAAGAAATAACAGAGAAAGCTGAAGAGTAAAACTACTAGGTGCAAAGCTCCTTTGACATGGGAAAAAATTTTTGTAATGGACTATGTTTTATCTGGTCCTGAATTCCAAAGCACACAGGACACTGTTCTGATATTAAATCTGGATTTTTTTTTGTGTGTTGCATTTGAAGATCTGTTTATTGCTTTCTGTTTCAGGCAGCAAGAATTATTGCCAAATTGGCTGCCTGGGGGAGAGAACTCATGGAGGGAAGTGACTTGAATTATTACTTCAACTGGATCAAAACACAGCTTAGTTCCCAGGTAAAAAGCTGCTGCTTTTTAAATATTACAATGACTTTGGAAACTTTCTTTAAGAATATGAATGCGCATGTGGATTGTACATAGAGAAATTCTTCATTTAATTTCATATTGATATTTTTAAAAACAAATATTTTCTTCAAGCACTTGCTTTATAATTTAAGACTTCATTTAACATCCAGTCCTTGAAGTCTAAAGTGATTTCTTGAATAAAAACAGGCATTTCAWTTTTTTTTGTTTTCTGCTGATTAATACTTGTTATTTCACAAACTGRGAGAATACATGATGAGAGGTTTTTGTCTCTTTGTATTGTTTGACTGTTCAGATTTTGTTACAATGGAGAAAAATGAAATGGCAGTGGGAAGTGAATAAGACCTTCTTCTAGTTTGCTGTAGTACAAAACTTTTTAGAATTCATGTTACTTGAAACCAAATAAAGCTGATTTGTTTGAACAGCATTTCTATGGCATTAGCTTACTATGAACTGCTTGATACTGGCTTGTCCTACAAAGAGAAATATTGTGTTTATTCCCTTTTTACTTGGCAACATTCCTTTAAACTTGTGCTTTAAAAAAAAAAAAAACCCAAACAAAAAACTTGGTATGCTTGGAGGTGAATCCTGAGATGATGTATTTTTGTAGACATGATAGTGTGGGGTCATATCAAAGTAATACCAAATTGTAATGAGGGGGAAAAAATAGTGTTTAATAGCTTGTGTGTGTGTGTTTTTGGAAGAATGGAGGGATTGGAAGAGATTTGATAACAATTTTTCTGTCAAGCTGTGATTTAAAATTTTTATTTTTGTGCCAGAAACTACGTGGTTCTGTGGAAGCAGGAGCTGTCTCCACRACTGATGTGAGTATTTCCACTGTTGGCATAAGCGGTAGAGCTGTTTTGCTAGAAAATACTTGGAATCAGAACTGTACTATAACAGATTGCCAGATGATGGCACTAAGAAGCAAAAGTATTTTTAAAACACTTTTTTTCACAGAAAATATTGGCAGTGGGAGTGCATATTGTATGGGTAATTTTGTATTGTTAAAACTGTATTAAAACTGAATTGTTATTGTTTATATGAAATTATTGTATTAAAGCTAGATGTATTAGGCATTCTTTCTGTTGCTACTTGAGGAAATAAGCAATTAATTTTTGAACAGTGCGGCTTGTTTTGTACTGGATTTTCTGACTCTTTCATAGAAGAAGCTTTAGAGTAAGAAACTTCTGGTTCTTGAAATGTAGAAGCTACAAATGTCACATCAGACTGATAACAGGTCAGCATTGCCTCTCAAGCCTCTGTAATATGGAATTACAAGAGTTAAATTTAGGCTGTTAACTGCTTGTATTTGATTCTTATTTATGCTGAATTCATGTAGCTATAATGGCTGCTCATCTTAGAGATGAACTCTGTGTGGCAGTGTAGCAGTATAGCAAAAAAGTGATCATCATGACTGGCTCTTCTTTCTCTGGGATGGATAAYGAAGCAGTCAGTCATGGCTTTTGAATATGGTCCTTTTGCATCCTGAATATTGGAGGGAAAGTGTCCATAATTTTCCAACATGTTTAAATATGAACTTGGAATTTGCTTCTCTTCTAAATGAAGTAATTCTTTATAATAGGCTTTTTCCTATGGGAAGCTAATTCTTTGATTACACTCTTGGCCAATAGTATGTRATGTAAAGAGTTCTAGTGTTACCCCCAACTACGTAACAGGGGTTACATAGTTGGGCCAAGGCATGGGAGTTGAAGTACAGTATGTGCAGCTTTRTGTCTCATTGTTATAAGGCTTTGTTAAGATCCTAGCCCTATGTCACGTGTCTCTAAAACAGTAAATCTTTCTACATCTTGCTGTACCGCTCATCATGGAGTGTCTGTGTTGAGTGTAGYGTAGCACTGTGTGCATTTACTGCTGCGGTGCCCCAAAGCAGCAAAACGCAGAGTGCAAATACATCCTAGGAATATTGTGTGGTGTTCAGTATTGAATTGACTTGGTTGGAGTGTTTCTGACTTCAGATCTAGCTGGGGCAGAAATTCCAAGCAGAGGCTAACAAAACTATTTAAAAAAAAAAAAAAAATTAAAGATGCAGTTGTAAAATTTTACATAAGAAACAATGTATGTGATTTATAATAAAATTTAGATTTGAGATGGTGTTGAAAGAGAACTTTGATCTGTTTAATGATGAAATATACAGGAAGAAAGTTTGATACTGATTAAAATACATTATTCTGGGGAGCTCTCTGTGTGTAAACAGTGGTTTCAAGAACTGCATTTTCTGTCTGTTTTATTTGCRTAGTGTACGAAAGTGAATTCATACACAGGGAAATAAATGTCCTTTGTAATGAATGCCTATAGAGATTTAAACCTTTTTTTTTTTCCCATAAAGGTCTTAGAATAAGATGAAACTCCTATGCAAGAGTCACAAAATGAATTTAGTTTTATTTATTGTCTCACCTGTTTTCATTTCATATGGAATTACCTAATTTCTCTTTTACAATGAATGTTTGAGAGGTTTGGTTTTGTATTGTATGATGTTCTACCATGAGAATTTAAAGGTACTTAGTTTAAAAAAAAAGGTTCTAGGATGTATTTTTCTCATATGTTGTATGTCTGAATAATAGTCAAGGTACGCCAGTGTTTCAGCACAAGGAGAGAATAAAATGTTCTTTCTTTCATACCTTGGGGCCTTTTTACTGCTGTTGAGGAAAGTACAACATGTTGATTAGATTTTTTTTCCAACTGTAACTAAACTTAGATATTATTGCACAAGAAATAGATACTCTCAGTGATGAAAAGCTGTTTAATCTTTTGTTTGACTGAAAATATATAGGAATTTGAATGAAAATGGAATTGTGATGCACATTTCAGCATTTCCTTGAAGAGAGAGTTTGTTCATAGCACAGTACAATGTGCTAAGCTTTTCATTAAGAGGAAAAAATTCAAAGCTAAGTTTGGAAGATGATTGTATTCATCTCTATTTTATATAGGAAAAATCACTATACTTTACATGTATTATCTGTTGTGGTAGTGGTAAAATGGCATTACTTCCATTCCAAACTCTTCTGCTTATTTTCCTTTCTACCTCTTATGTCTTTTTTTTTATTATTTATTTGTTTTGAAATAGCAGTATGTAAATGTTATACGGGTGTCCCTGCTTAAATTAGAAGTGTTGCTGAAGAAATGCACAATGTTGTATACCAGGAGAGCCTGTTGTGGAAACTGAGCTTCAGCGTGTGGTACCCAGCTCTTTAATCAGAAGCGTTGTGCTCTTGTTCTCTCCCAGAGCTCCCAGTATGTGCAGTGTGTTGCTGGATGTCTGCAGCTCATGCTCAGGGTCAATGAGTATCGCTTTGCGTGGGTAGAAGCAGATGGAGTAAACTGGTGAGCATTTATTTCCATTTATATAGAAATATTGCACTTACAATAGCATGTTCCCAAATGACCCAAATGTAATAGAATTCTCCTGCAAGAACAGCTGTGCTGCTTGAGTACAAATCTGTTTTGTTTTCAAACATTAATGTATTTGTATGAACAGAAGAAACTTGAAAATGTAGGTACTAGTTCTGAGGCTTTAAAGCTGCTTTTTGTGAAGAACTTTTGATACAGGTATTTAAAGAGGAATATACCCATTTATCTTCTGATAAAAATGCTTTGAGATTTGTTATTTATTAGAACAGGAACTAGAGAGAAAGTTTCTGCTGTGTTTCTAGTATCTTTCATTTGGAATTTTTCAGTTGCAAAGTATTAATGAAAGGAGAAAACAAGATATGTGTAGAAATGCTTCCTCTCCCTGTCTCCCACATACAACTTTAAGTAGATTGCTCTTTTATCCAGGTTTTCATGAATAGTTTTGCATGAGGTGGTGTTGTCACTCTTATTTATGCATGAATATTCTTAAAGATCTCTTCTACCATGTGTATCTGTACTGGGGGGAGATGATGGCTATACTGTTTGAAATCTAAAAGAATATCTGAATTTCTCTAACTTGGAGGAGAAAAAATTGACAGTGAAATGAAAATTTCTAACACCTTCACATTATCAAGGTGATCCAATTGAAATGAACTTTTCCACAAAAGTTGTTGGTAATGGTTAAGGAATAACAATAAAATATTGAAGTGTTATAATGGCTTCGGTGTTTTGCCATCTTAATTTTAAGCGGTAGCTTTTAAGCGGTAATTTTGCAAGTTACTTTTTTAATTGGCTTGGATTTTTTTGAGAAAAGTTGTTTATTGCATCTTAAAACTTCAAAACTAATTTTGTTTTCCTTAAATGCATTTTTAATGTCTTGGCTGTCTTGTTATGTTATTTCTCTTTTAATGATGCTGTATTATCTATCTATTTTATGAGCTATTTGAAAATTTACTTCCTAAATGGTCCATACTTCAACTCATTACAAGCACTCCTATGGAGAGAGACTTCTGAAGTGTTTTCAGTGTATGTAGATGGTTGTACTTGCTCACTCTTTCCTGACGGGAAAAAAAAGTAGCTTATGTTTCTTCTTATAACAAATAGTGGTCTAAACATGACATTATTAGAAACAAAACATACAGCTTAACCTGTCTGAAGGTGGATACCCAATTGCATCAATTCACATTGGAGAAAGCTTCTTTATGGCTCTAACGCTGAGAAATAAAATATGCTGTGTTTTAAAAGATTGGCCAGTGCTCTCAGACACGTTTTTACCATTGCTCAAAACAGCACTCATCCCTGCAGCTCTTTAGGGTAAGTTCCTGTTAAGCTCTTATGCAATAATCAAACATGTATCGTGTGAACTTTTCAGTATCATGGGGGTCTTGAGCAACAAATGTGGCTTCCAACTCCAGTACCAGATGATTTTCTCCGTGTGGCTGCTGGCCTTTAGTCCCCAAATGTGCGAATATCTCCGTCGGTACAATATCGTTCCGGTGCTGTCCGATATCCTTCAGGAGTCGGTCAAGGAGAAAGTCACTAGAATCATCCTTGCCGCGTTTCGGGTAAGTGTCTGTTAGGAGCAGGGGCCTTGTGCTCAGCTGCTTTCTGGTGTTGCTGAGACACAGCTGTTTTTGTTGGACTTCATCCTGACTTGGCTGACTTGAAGAGCTTTTCCCTCTTTCTTTTTTTCCCYYTGAAGGGGGTAAGTTTTGTAGCTGTAATACAGGCAGTATTACAAGTAACAGAGTAACAGATGTGCAGCTTTCAATGTCCTAGAATAAGTCTGACCAATATTGTATTGAACACCTGCCTTAGTGCTTTCTCGTCTGTAGTTCAAGGGGTTTTTGTTCTGTTTCTACCAGTGAAATGTTACGACACTTGAGTTACGGATGCTTCTGAAGGCGGAATTTACCAAGTTTTAATTACAAAATGCCATTTTGAAGGAATGTATTTGCCCGACTTCTTGATTGACTTGGGAGTTACCTTCTATATACCAGTCAAAATCTTTCCTTGGTGGCTCCGTCAAGATGAGCAGGGATCTTAATCTTAGTATCAAACGGGGAAACACAAGGGAGCTTTAGAAATAGTGACAAGTTTCAGTAACTTAATATTCAATATCTTCCAGTTGTGAAGTCATAAAAAATTAATTGCTAGTTCTTAGAATTACTGTGTTTTGCAGTAGGAGACAAAACTAAGCCAGACTCTTTTACTTAAAAAAAAAAAAAAAAGGCTGAGGAAGAACACAGTGGCTTTGTTGCACATTTTGGGGAACAGCTACGTTGCTCTCGCATGAGAGCAAGGGTATAAATTGACAGGCAGGAGGGATAGTGTGGAAATTGGATATTGAAACTGTTATCTACTTCGTTGCAGAAGTAACTTAGTGATACTTTTTCTAAACTACCCTTTACTGAGTTCTCTTGCTTAATGGATAGAAGTTTGTATTTTTTGTACAGTAAAATGGATTGTATGTAACTAGTAAAAGCTGTAATAAATTCTTTTTCCTTATGTAAACTTTAACATTTATATGCAGTACCTTACTGTACTAAYTAACACAATGTCTGATATCTTGGAAACCTTAAGTATAAACCTGTCATGAACAAGAGGAATGTAGTCAGATTCCTTCTGTAAAATTATTTTTTTCTCAAGTAGATGTTAAGCTTTATTCAAATAGACACAACTTCTGTTTAAAGACTTAGTCTTTTAGTATGGGTTGCGTGTTGTAAGCATTATCAAAAAGTGCAGGTGGCTAGTTCTGAACAACCAAATTTGAAGGTGATAACGCTGAGCAAAAATGTAACAAAGAAATGATATTGCAACTTGATTATTACATTCTATGCTTGACTTACCAGCAAGGTTCTCTTTGAATAACAATAAAGCTCATTGGAATGTTTCCAAATTCAGAAGAAGATGATCTAATTCAGATGTAAACTATTCATCTGGAAAGACTTTTTTTAAAAAAAGACTTTCTTGATGCTGGGACTACACAGAAAACTGAATTGATAAACCTAGATAAAAACAGCTGTTCATGGCAGAGACCCTACATTTTAGGATATCAACTCTTTTTTTTTTTTTTGAGTAGTGTTTCTTCTTTATTTAATGTGGGAAATTATCAAAGCAGGTGCATTAATACATTCTAATGTTTAAGGTAGCATGGCACATCACTGCCTCCTACTTTGAAGGAAAAAGGTCAAAATCAGGTGTCTGAATGCAGTGGAGTTTGTGCTTTTTAGCATAGGTGATTGTATGGCTTCTACCTTGTAAGCCACAGCCATCATCTTTATTTTTCTCTTTATTTATGATACCCATCTGCTTTAGTCCTACTTAGGAGTACCCCTCACGTGCAGAAAGGTTACTGCTAGGCACATTATCCCACTGAAGAAGGTATAAAGGAGTCACCGTGCGGTAGACTCATATTTTATTCTTTGGAGAGAGTCTCATGCAGTGCTTAACTCTCCCTGACAGTCACTTCTTAAATCAAAAACTGCCAACAAGGACTTCTCAAATATTAGCGTTTTCACTTCAGAATAGTTTTTTCTTTTAAAAAAAGAAAAATTATTTTCCTAGAATCTCTTAGAGAAATCTGCAGAGAGAGAAACTCGCCAAGAATACGCACTTGCCATGATTCAATGTAAAGTTTTAAAGCAACTGGAGAACTTGGATCAGCAGAAATATGATGATGAAGACATCAGTGAAGATATCAAATTTCTACTGGAGAAGCTTGGTGAGAGCGTGCAAGATCTTAGGTATGTTTTGTTGTGTGAACTTTTGAAAAATATGACTATACAAACATTAGGTAAAATCTTTTAAAAATATATTACATCTGATAATATATACAATATAAAATATGTATATATGTATATATGCATAATATATGCCACAATACACTATTTTATGTGTGGAATTATATTTATTTGGCTGATAAGAGCACATATCGGAAGTGTTAACTGTATATGAAAGATGTATTTACCTGCTGAATTGAAGTTCTTCCTTAACAGTTTACCAGTTACAATGATCACATAACCAGTAGTGAAGATTTTTTTCAATGAGAATTGGTAGGAAATACATGCAGTCTTAGTCTAAGCTAAAGATTGCCTAATTAGCTAACCTCATCTCTTGCTGCGCAAATTAATTCAAGTTAGGCTTCTCCTTTCTTTGTACATAAATTGAAGTGCACATTACAGTTTATGTCAATGGCTTAACTTTATGAAAATCAAGGACCATGAACCTTTGGAAAAATTAAAATCCACAAAGTTTGCAAAATAGCCTTAAACTTCTGGGAATTAATTGACTAATGTTTAACTTCAGGAATCCTTTTTGGGGTGCCTGAGTGCTACACATTCTTTTTTTCYCTTTATCTTTCACATATTTCACAATTTTTGAGCAATGATGAACTTTTGTGAGCAGAAACAGTTCTTGTACTTTGTGGAGAGGTGACTTCCAAACCTGTTACAACAACCTGTGCTCCGGTTCTACCTTGCTAGGGGCAGAGTTGGGTGTTCTGTTCAGACTCTGTTCATGGAAGCTGAACCCATATTTCACTGAGTCTTGTATTGCAGCTCATTTGATGAGTACAGTTCTGAACTCAAATCAGGAAGGTTGGAGTGGAGTCCTGTACACAAGTCTGAGAAGTTCTGGCGTGAGAATGCTGTAAGATTGAATGAGAAGAACTATGAACTTCTCAAGTAAGTCTTCAACTCTTGTTTCATATTATGCTTTAATATTTTCAATATTTAACTGATACCATGTGTAATAGTCACTAATCCTTGTTGAAATAAATTGGGTAAAGTAAAAACAAGTTGGAAGGTATAGTCCTTACTCTGTAGTGATCTTGATCAAAAGCTGAATTGATTATTTAACTGCTGAAAATACATTGAGGATAATGGAAATAATAGCTTAATTTCCTTGCAAACTTGCACAGAGGCTTTTAATGCTTTTCTTTTGAGAAACAGTTACATTAATTGATGTAATTAAAAACTGTTTTTTGTTGTATCTTGGGTTTAATTTTGTGGTATTTGTCACTGATCAGAGTGTAGAACCCCTTCCTGAAGTACTTGGGGGCTGGAAGTTGTGCTGCTGTTCTGTGGTTACTGCTAACTTTCTGTAATTGGAATGCGTTTGCCTCTTAATAAGAGTAAATTAATTTTCCAGTGAATCCAGATGTTTTAGTCTTAAATTTATTTTTAGTCACTAACTTTCTTATTTTCCAGTTGTGTTTTCTTTTTTTTTCTGGTTAGTGAACAGTTTCTACTCCAAGGAATTAGACTACTCCATTAAGGGACAGTGTTAAGAATTGGGAAACTGAGAAGTTGCTTTATGAATCTTACAGCTCTGTATTTCTTTTCAGAAAGCAAAATAAGTAACACTTGAAAGAGGAGTTTATTAYAGTTACTTCTTTCATCATTAGTTTTTAAAGAGTGAGAGCAGAACTATTTTTTTTTTTTTTATCAAAGTAGTAGGTTAAATGGATGATAATTCTGGGGTAAAGATGCTCCTATAAGAACTATAAGAAAGTCCTAACTAAACAGTTTTGCTGGTCTGCATCATGCTAAGGAAGCCCCTGTGTGTAAGGGGTGTGTTAAGCCCAGGGTGGGATTGGGCAAAGGCAGGCTGAGAGCAGGCCGCTAACGTGGCTTCCTGGGCCCAGTGTATCGCGCTTGGGGAGTCGCAGGCAGCGTCCTCGCTGCTTCCCACATCCGAGCTGTGAAGCCAGCTCCCATACTTGGGAATGCGGATGGAACTGGGGCCTGTCGTCTAACACTAGAAGTGATATCTGCTGGGTTTGTGTGTGTTCTGTTTGGTGGTGTCTCACATTCCCCCCCTTTCCCCTGTCTGTAAATATTAATGTATTTTGTTAGTACAGCTTGTCTTGAACTCAAAGCTGTTGATTCTGAAGTCAACATATATGGAAGAAGTAGGTGTTTTGCAAGCCTTGGTGTAGGTATTTATAGGAATGAGGTAGTGATGTCAATGCAATCAGTGCCTTAAAGGAAAAAAAAATCTATTAATGAAGGCAGGATCTGTATCACTTAAAAGTCTAACTATGTGCTTGGAAAAAGTTAGTTTTAGCTTACAATGCAAACGACTGTGTGATATGCTTGTGGCTGCAAACTGTTAATTTAAATAAAGTTGTGGAAAATCTGAGATTTAATTCTTTCAAATCCTTTCCCAGAATCCTGACGAAACTTCTGGAGGTTTCTGATGACCCCCAAGTGTTGGCTGTAGCTGCTCATGATGTGGGAGAGTATGTACGGCACTATCCCCGAGGGAAACGGTGAGAAGGGTGCTCTTGCTCAAGGCACTGAGCTCGAGCGTACACTTTGCCTGATAATTACTTCTTTAAGATACGGTACACTGGAATCGCAGCTTTTCCATGAGTTCAGTTCATTGGGAAGGTATTGTAGATGACAAAATAAATTGGATTCTTGACTTCTGTTACTAGTATTTTAGTGGCTCTTGACAGTGAAGGGAACCTACGTCTAAAAAAAAATGCAGAAACATTTTTTCAAGTTAGACATGCTTCAGAGGTAATTAGAATAGCTACTGAAAATTTAATAGCATATCATTTTTATCCTTTATGATGGCTTACTCTTAGGATATAATGTTGGGTTTAGAGTGCACTGTTTCAGCAATGATTAATTCTTTAGTTTTAAGACAGATTTTGTTGTTATTGTTACAAAAGATTCATATTTCAATAATACTGGCAAAGCTTTGATTATCTTCCTATTTTAGTGTTTTTCTTTGTACACAAATATACAGGTTTAATCAAATGTTCATGTCTGCTGCAAACTCAAATTTCTATCAAAAATACATATATAGAACAAAGCAAACACAGTAGTGCGTATATACACACATACACTCTTTGTTTCTATACAAACAGTTGTGTGTATGTGCGTGTATATTTGTTTTCTGTTGTGAAAACCTATGAGCAAAGGAACTTAATTTCTTCAGAGATGGAATTATTCAGAAAGTAGACTACTGTAGCAGAAGGGACATTACAAATGTTTGCGGGAATTATCCTCATTAGCCACCCAAAACGGGGAGCTAAGACCTGCAATTTAACTTATGTAGCAAAGCAGGAGTCTTTTTATGAGTTCTTGGCTAGGATTTAGTTGAGAATTTTTAATGAATGCTCTTGCTTTAAGCTGTCCCTTGCTTGAAAGCATTTATTGCACACTTGCTGGACTACGTAAAGCTTGCACACATTGACTTGGGAGCGCAGCMTCGTACCTGGTCTAATGTGGCCATGTGGTTGCAAGACCCAAGCTGTTTGGTTAAGTGAATGAGCAGAGAGCCTTCACCTCCTTGTTTTCAGTTGGGARAATGTGCTGCTGAGGRGACCTCAGCTGCGCTCGGCAGGTGCTTTACCCTGTGCTCCTGGCTGGTAAACCTCTCCTGGAGAGCTGCAGCCTTCGGAAGGAGCACTCGGAGGCAAGGTAGAAGCTACTATTCTAACCTCTGTTCTTGTTGCAAATTCTAATACTTCAATTCTTTTCTGCATACAGAAAACTAAGCAAGCCAGTGCTGTTCCTGAAGGACAAACTGAAATGCTTTCTTTCCAAGGACTTAATTTGTATTCTAGTGTATCCTTATGAAGCCTGACTGAAGCAATTATAGGACTGAAAGCTTGAAACACCTAAGCACAATGTTTCAGTTCCCCCTTAATAGGCCATTTCTTACCATAGTACTTTCTGTTATACAGTTATTTACTGCTCCTATAGTTGCTTGGCATTTTATACTTGCAGGGTATGACTCACTTAAGAATTGATGCCATTGCTTGGTTTTGAAGATCAAGAGAGTTCAAATGTGTTAAAAATTATTGGGCACTTAGAGGATTTGTCCTCAGCGTTTTCTACCTTCAAAGATTGCAKACTGACAACTTAGATGCTCTAAGTTCTTGAGTGTGTCTGCTGAGTACAGCAGAGCTTTAGACTTACAGTCTTTACTAACCTTTTTCATTGTCTGCAAAAGTTTATGTTAAAGTGTTTGTTAAAGCAAGTGCTTTGTTTCTGCCTGGCTGTTTTCCAGTATTCTCAAATGTCTTTAACTTGCCTTCAGAATCTGCTCCGTGATGTGTGATTTTTATTTATTTATTTTAACTTTTAAGGCAATAGTATCATTGGCTTCTAGTGAGGCTCCACTAGTGAACATACTCTGAGAGTCCAGCACCACGAATGAAGGCATTTGCGGTAGTGTTGGTGTTTGCTCTCACTTAAGATACATTGGAGACTAATGTCTAGCCCCGGTTTAACCTCCTTGTTACTTTAGTTGCCCCTGTACAAGGTGAGCACTCTGTCACCTTAAATTCTGTGAATATAGTTTTTGTTCTGCATATAGAAATTAAAACCTAGAGCTATTTCTTTTCTTCACTTGGAATTCAGAAACAGCTTCATTTCCTCCCCCTTTTCACTTTGGTCTAGTTTTGAATATGTACCCCTATTTATATATTATCTTCTGCTATAATTGAACAGTTGTGATCCATCTTCATCCTCTCTTTTCTGCAATATATCATGATAATACCTGGTGGTTCTGCCTCCAGTAACTTCTTTAGATTCTGAACACTGGCTTAGTTTATTCCACTCTTAGTATGGGGAATAGTCCCTGCAGTACATGTACATAGATTAAAGGAGTCAAATTATCCTGTTATGCTGTTCTCCAAAACTGGAACTTAGAGGGAAAGCTATAGAACAAACTAGAATTTTAAAAACAAGTGCTATGAGCAGGTATGGAGCCTGAAGAAAAAGGGTTTATTTTGAACCTTACCTCCCAAGCTAAAGCAGTCGGTTGGGAAGTGATTTGCGCAAGTAGGCAGTGGTGTGCAAGTATGGTAACTGCTCTTTGACTCTTTATATTCTCAGCCATCATTTCACACTGCCACTGTCATCTGAAATAATCCATTTTCATTTGTGATAACTGCATTTTAACTTTCGTTTTGAATTACACATGCTTCGTGTGAGAGGARGAAGCTTTCTGAGTTTAATGCTTCTTATCTCCTTCCACTTCCTCAGAAATCAGTGTTTGTCTTTCCAGTAATGAGGAAAAGGTTTGTGATTGTATTTCATAGTCTTATTTTTATCTAGTGCCAATGGTTTTGTCTCTTCCTCTTGAGGAAAATGGGAGGAAGCCTCAGGCAGCTTTTATGCATCTTTTATGTTACKAATGCTTTTTTTCCTTTTTTTAAAAGTTTTCTATTTGCAAACAGCTGAGATTTTTTTTTCTGTATGCTTTCCTTTTGTATGAAGCGTCTTTCAATCTTTTAGTACTATTTGGAAGAGCTATTCTCTATAATAATTTCTAGGATGCTTTTGGCAGAGTTATAAAATGCAACGGAATTTCTGCATTTCATCTTCAAATTATGTCTTTTATACTGTTGTGCACTTTACAAAAATGTGATGTTTTATTCAGCGGTAAGGCATTCATTTGCCTATAAAGAGAAGAGCAATAACATTAGACTGCTTGTCTAATTTTAGAATAGTAGCGTGTTAAGAGTGAGGGATGTTTTAAATCCCATTAATTCATAAGGTATTTAAATAGTTACATGTGAGAGAGATGACTTTTTATTTTAAAAGTAACTTCATATGGAGTAAGGAGTTTATTTTTTGTTGTGAAGTTGATAGTGAAGGATGAAACTTAACCCCCTTTCTTGGAAATGTGGCTTTCAGAAGCCGGACAGTTCTGCATCTTGTGCATAAATAGCTGTGGCTTCAGAGTTTGGTTAGTGGCTTCTTTACAACTTGGGGCTTCTCTTTTTACCATATGCTGAAGCATGGTCACCATCGAGAGGCATCTGTTTTTAATGGAGAAAAATCAGAATAATTTCAGTAGGTAGTATTAGAGTCTTGCATCTGACTAGATGTGTTACAAAYACTATACCATTAGAAAGTAACATACTAAAATTTTACCCTATGATGTAATTTTAACCTTTTAATGCCTTAAGGTGAAGCAGTTGAATAGAATGGCTACCTCAGAGCTGAAATAATGTAAAAAAAATATATAAAATTCCTATCTTTCAGAGTTATTGAACAACTTGGTGGCAAACAACTAGTAATGAACCACATGCATCATGAAGACCAGCARGTTCGTTACAATGCGCTACTGGCTGTGCAGAAGCTCATGGTTCACAACTGGTACGTGAAGTTGATTTCGTGTGTGCTGTTAACACTAAAAACAAGGTATAGAGGCAGATTTTCATAAGAAATCAACATTATAATATTGCAGTTATTTAAGAAGTGATAGAGCAATGTGATTCTGATATAAGGCCTCAATGTGTTTTCTGCTTGATTTTTGTTTTAGTTCAATTGAGTAGCTTGACTTTACAGGGTTGATTGGAATGCGAAGTAATTTAGTTCACTCCAAATATATTCCTAAATACTGAGCTGTTCAGGTCAGTTGTATCAGCTGTAATTCAGGCTCCCAAAACTACAGAGCCTTCAAAATGTTAAGGATCTGTGTAGGTGTTTTTTAACAAACTACTGATTCCTTCATCTGAGATTGACCTAGTTGTGTTACAGGAGTTGACAAACAGTTACAATGTTTTAATTAGCAATTATTTCACCAGCTGGTCATTTTTGCATATGTTTTTCTTACTGTTCTAATGCTTATCCCCACTGTATGCTGGTATTTTCATTCTGCCATTTTAACAAATCTAAGTGCAAACATTTTTCCTGTGCGCATGAACTAGCAGGAGCTCCTGGGCAGGTTGGTTAGATAAAGTTGAAAATGACTCATCTCTCATGAGCTGCTGAAAAACAGTGTTTGAAGAGAGATTTTTCTTTTCACTGTTTGTCTACTAGTTCTCTAAAAGCTCAAAGAAATCCTGAAGGCCTGGAGTGCTCTGCTGTAGAATTGACGTTGGATTGTACTAGAAGTATCTAGAAGAAGCACTGAAGGCCTGAAACCATGAAACATTTTGGTGTTCATGTAATAACTTCGTTTAATTTGGCAAATTAAACAGGAAGGCATAAAACATGGGGAGCTGATTAGGAATTCTGCATCTSATGCTAATAATAACCAAAGCTCATGTATTTCCAATCTTGGCACTGCCTTTGTGAGAGGTGAAATGCTGCARTGCAGTGGAGCATCTCAACACAGGTGTATTGCAATACAAACATCTATTTTTAAACCTAAATTTAAAAAGCTGTTCCAAGGATCTTGTGTTTTGAAGCACCTAAAATGYGTAGTTATTTTCTGCTTCTGATGCATTTTTTTAAGGCTGAGCACTGATGCTAACAGTGTGAAGGTGGTAGCACAGTAAGGGTTTTTTATTTTTCCAACAAAATAGACTGAACTACTGGAGTAGACAGAATATTGAGGGTGACTAGACCTGGTTTTACTGCAGAAGTTGCCTTGTAGGAAAGGGCTTTAAGGTCTGCAGGTATGTCTGTAACCTATTTTGGGGCAGGTTTGTGTATTGCACCAAGCTGAGAAACCAGGTAGAGTTATGTCCCTTTGCTCACTTTGGGCTGTTCTGGTACATTTGAAACATGCCGAATGTTATAAATGGGCTGCAGCAAAATGAAGATGGCAGTGTGGAGAGGTTAGTTAATTCATTTTCTGCAGAAGTGTGGAGTAGATCTTATTTCATGTGTGTTCCGGTGGCTTGCAAATATGGTAAATCTAAGTCTTTCACCTTTTACAGCACCGTCTCATTAGCAATAAGAGCTCTGCTGGGCCTCTAACCTGGCTTTTCTCATCTTCATCTTCAGCACAATATTAAGAACACAGAACCGCAAGTTTGGGATAATCATCCTTCTTATGGGATAAACATTTCTGGCCTTGGCTCTTCATGGTTTGTGAATATTTAGAGTTGAGAATGAGAGTGTGATTACAATAAATGCCTCTACAGAGGAGTGTAAATAAAAGGGTTCTGTTTAAGACAGTGCCATCTTTAGATTTATGTTGCTTTCTCAGCAGGGAATATGATGTTGATTTCCTGGAGCAAGGCTCTGGAAACAGTTGGAGCCATGATTATGAAGGAGTGAGTTCCTTAGAGTCACATAGCTGGGACTAACACTTAGCCCATAGGTAGGAAGCTAAATGTGCCGTTGAGTAGATCAGGATTTTGATATCTACCAGTAGCTCCTTATTTCATAGCTTGTGTGGGGAGAAGAGTATGAAAAAAAAAAGACAAGTTCACCACTGGCTCCACAGTGCTATAGGGGTCACTTTAGCTTAGTCTTGTGATAATGTGGATTACTGGGCAACTTCCTCTAAGGTTTTGGTCCTCTTGCTTTTGAGGTGGGGAATTTTTTTTTGCCCTTGGTTACTATGTGTTCCCAGTTCGTTTGAGGCAGTTTTATTTTCTTTTTCATTCAGTTTAATTGGGACGATACAGCTCTGCGTAATGGTCTGTGGTAGGTGCAGGACTGAGCAAGTCTGGCCCTTCCTAGGTTTGGAGGTCAGAAGGATAAGAGAGTGAAGGCTGCCCTGCCAGGGTGACACTTCATGTTGTGCTGTAACTATGTCAGGGGAGAAAGGAAGGACTTCTGGTGCTTAGTCAAATGTCCTGCCAAACCGCTTGCCTATCGAAGAAGGAGAGGGAAATGAATGAGGGAGTGTCATGGACCAAGGGAAGTGGCATTTGCTTCAAACACAGCTGTGTCATTTAGACTGATGATAACTCAACATGATGACAATTAAATTCAAAGTAATTTGAATGGCTCACTACAGGCTGCTCAGCTGCCTTGTCCTTAGGGGATTTTAAGTCAGGGATAAATGGGGGGGAAAATCAAACTGTCAGGCATTCTGTTAATGGCGAAAGGAACTTGGCGAAMGCAGTAACTGCTGCCAGGTTTTCAGAAGAAGTAAGTTCAGGTGAAATATTTCTGTTAAAATTGCATGTCAAATGATCATGCATTTGATGAAGTGGATGGGGAAGTTACTGCTTAATGYCTTTAAGTGGTAGGTTATCTCATGCTTTAACGTCACTTAGCAACTTTGTATTAACCCTGGCACTCAATGCTGAAGATAAAAGCCTGTTACGGGTAGACTGGGACTTGGGCAAAAAAAAAACGTTGTACAGGCTGGTGGTGGTGTGTGGRGGGGTGGTTGTGGTTTTTTTTTTCCTCCTTCTCCTCTCCTCCTTTCATACTCTGTGCTTTAGCTTGTGCTTTAGCTGTCTACTCGAAACATGATCTTACTGCATTTCTTTGCTGGTATACAGAGGGAATACTAAAATGGACAAGTTGGGTATTAGGATTGGATGTCTATGTAGGTTTTTGGGACCCAACCTTGTTGGCTGGAACAATGTTCTTATGCTGAAGACTTGAAAAACATCATGTCATGAACTTCAAAAATGCAAGCATATATGTAATTTTAAGATAGCCAGATATGTTCACCTTTAAAGGYAGGTACACAAAGGTACACGAAAATTCCTTTTGTGTACTTGATGGCAGAAAATTTTGCTGTACTTCAGGGATGAAATTACAGCACTGAAAGCACCTGAAGATAAAAGCCCAGGTTCTCTTTCTGGACAAAGGAGAGAGGCAGACAGTTTTTCAAGGCATTGCAGAGCAATTTGTGTACCTGAAGCTGAGCAGTGTGAATAATCCTGTCTTTAAATATGTGTGAGCCTATAACCTAGTGGCTTATTTCTAGACACAGTAATTGCAGCCTCCTATTACTTGACTAAAAACTAGATGAAGAGCTGGGTGAGCAACATTCTAGTTGTTGTATATTTAAAGTGCAATTTATTTATCACCTTACTGCTCATGCAGAACACTGCATTAGTTTGCACCACTCCGCGCTAGTCCTGTAGCCAGGCTAGCCCAGRGGAGCGTGCCCACAACCCATGCAGTGAGTGCTCTCCTCTCTGTCGCTCAAGAGTCTGAGGGAGCAGAGGGGCAGAAAARTGAGAATTATTGTGATATCCAGGCTATGTTCTGCTCTGTTGGGCTGCAGGGAGTTTCCTGGTCCCATCCCACCTGTGCAGCTGGTTTATAACACCCGGCTGTGTGTGGTAGCCCTGCAGAGGGCAAGACGGACGACTGGCAAATCATGTCAATGTGGGTGCAGTTATTGTGGCAGCAGAGTAGCTGTGGCTCACCAGATAGATGCCAGTTAGCTTGTGGCGTGCAGAGACAGATCACATGGTTGGTTTTTTCTTTGTGTTTTTTGCTCATTGTAATGTATAAGGAACTAATTTTTTCAAATAAATATTCTGACTGTGCATTTTTAAAATAATTCATTCATGTTGTTTCAAATAATAGGTAAAATRTTGTCCCATGACAGTTTCACTTCTGGTTAGTTTAATTCTAAAGCTTTGATACCATGATAAAAGTCAGTTAAAATTCAGTTAGACAGAAATCTGTACAGAGTAATTGAGAATGGCTGACAAACTTGAAACTCTAAAATTTGAAAGCATTTGTTTCACCATTCATTATGGCAAGCAAATCTTCTGTTAAATATCAAGTTAACTTGCACTGTAACACTATATATTGGCCATATCCTCTGAGGGCCTGGAGTCCCATGGCAACTTTATTTTCCTTTAGAACCAGCCTTCCAATTTCACATTTGAAAAGCAGGCAACTTCAGATCATGTTTATATTTRGATGCAGTAATTATTTTAATATAGTTCTGACAAAGGAAACAATTCTGCCTCTTAAGCTCAGTCTATTAAAGCATGCTAGAACAATTCTAAGTTCAAGTATTTTTAGATAACTACAAAGTAATAAAATAGATTCAAGATGTAAAATATTAGTAGAAGAATGAGGACACGCATGAACAGAAGACTCCCTTCCTTTCTACAGTGCCAGTGCTGTTCCCTTCCCTCCCCAAAGGCATGAATGTCAGTGCATTTATCTCTATCCTTTTGTTCCTTAAAGGACAGGTATCCAACTATATGGGAAACTGCAGCATACCCTGCCAAAAGCAACATTCCTAATAAACAGCAAAAAACTTCAGTCCTTTTAGCACTAAACCTGCAGAAACTAGTTGGATGCACCTTTAAAATTACCAGTCAATCTTGGGTTATCTATAATAATAACCTTTTGGTGAATCTGAAATCCAGCTTAAGAATTACATTCATTTGTGTATTGTGCCAGTTCCCAACACAGTTCTGCTACTTCCTTACCCCATAGTCAGTGAATTTGGTGGCTTACATGTTGGCTCAATTCCTTGTTCCTTTCCTAAATGACCTTTGAGTATTTGTTGCTATTATCATAGTACTCAAGCATACCTGGGCCTGAGAGAGACTGATGGGGATGGAGATTTTTTATATATATATATATATTATTATATTATATTATTATATTATATTATTATTAATATATATATATTAATATATTATATATATTAAAATCATAACTGAATAAAGCAACAAATAAGAATAAGCATTAGGGATGTCCTTAAATGCTTTCAATACTCTTTAAATACAGGTTTTCTTAAGTTTGGAGAAAAAGAAAATTGTTAGTGCAGAAGAAATCTCACCTGTTTTTCCTAATATGTATCCAAATATTAATTTGCAAATGACAGTGACTAAACGCAGTCCAGCCATGTGSTTAGGCACTGTGTAACAGAGTAGCTCATGTCCTGCTGCCAGAAAGACCAGAGGTGAGAAGTCTTATTGATCAGTTTTAATTGAGAAATGAAGGGATAAATACGAAGCCATGTATCAAGCTTTTGTACAGTTTTAACTTTTGTACAGCCTCTAGGTAATGTTATGCTGACTGACTGTTTCATGTTTGAATCCAGTTAACTGTAAATGCAAGCTTGCCTGGATCCACTTCACGGGCTTTTTAATAAAAGTGGTTTTATGTAGAAGGAGGACACGAAGATGCTAAGATAGACCTTTATAAAGGCCTCTGTGTGCCAGTTTAAGGAGAACAGGTAAAGTAGAACATTTTATTTCAAAGAGGTAAACTTGCACATTTTACATCTAGGTAATTAATGCTGGGAGTTGGGTTGCCTTCATCTTCTGGGTTAAACAGTTTCCAGTGGTGATTCAGAGCTAGGTAGTGCTACCAGGAACTGTTGTGAGATTCGCTGATAAATAACTGAGTCTGTGTAGAGCTCACCTGTGCAGTTCCAGGTGGGGAATCGCTGTGCATCCAAGTGCATCGCTGTGTTATGTGGGAAGGTGCAGAGTTTTCCAGGGGCTTTGTGATGTGAGGGAGCACTATGAAGCCTTGTGGTGGCTTCCCTTGCCTTTCTAGAGAGCAGTTAAGGACTAAAGCATTGTGGTCACTACTGCTGGATGACTGTCTTGCAGAATTTTATTTCCCCACATTCCTCTAAAATAAAAGAAAAAATACCTTTACTTAGTGCCTGGACAGCTGGTGTACTGAGAAAATATTTGCTCTTTCTAACTGACTTGAAGTATTATATACRATAATATAATACCTAGCAGAAAGTCCAGTGTATTGTTTTAGCTTGTGTTTTGTCATCAAGGATAGTATTTTGCTCTTCTTTCATAGCTCTGTACCTAAATTTTGTACATTCTGCATGTTCTAAAAGAAACTCTTAAGATTGAGTATGGAAAAGCAATGGAAAAGTAGGCCCTAAAAGTCAAATTGATCAAGTGGTAGCCGGGTGTGTTTTGTTTTTCTCTGTCCACAGCATGAGCTGATCAGGCACGTGTGAATCTCTGCTACTACCAGGCACCCATGTGTGTTTTAATCACTTGCCTCTGAGCTGGCTTATGTTTAGCCACAAACTTGATCTGCTTGCAAAAGACTGACCAGGATGCTTGTGTTACAGTAAAGCAGGTATCCTTCTGTGCTTATGGAGGAAGGAAAAACAAAGCATCTCYTTACAGTAGAAGTGAGTTCAGTTTGGGGGTTTATAGCTTCTCATTATAAAAATYCTGTGTTATCTCATTGCTTTGCAAGGTTATCTCGTTGCTTTGCAAGGTAGATCAGTGCTTCTGATCTGTCAGAGGCTTCTCTTGAATCTTTCGTGAAATGGATTTTTTTAATCCTTCCTTCATGCTACATGCTGTTCMAGTGCAGTGTGCTGAATCCTCGAAACCAGGCTAAATCTGTGGGCCAAACAGTAATTCTAAAGTTCRAGGATCTAGTATATAACCAAGTAAACTGGATATCTTAAACTCACCTGATATGTATTAGCATATGAACACCTCAGCCCATCATCTTTGAAGCCAGTTTACAKTGCTCTCCTTAATCTTCTGATGTGATTGGAATATCAACCTGTGAAAATACTCTTGAACTGCATTGGCCATTTCGTGTGTCCTAGAGCAGGGTGAGAACAGGGCTGCTGAGCTGTTTATTCTTGTAGGGTGAATTGGAAGGTGGCAAGGAGAGGTGACGGGACACCTTATGGGACAGCTTTGCGTGGAAGCTTTATACTGAGAAGCTGTATAAATGATTCATAGCAGTCTTTTCACTCTCTAGAACTTAGTTCTGGGTTAACAAATAATACCCCATTTAGAAATGATACTGAAACTAGCTGCTGCTTGTAAATGCCAATAGGACAAGGGCTTTTGCCATCTTGAGGCCCTTGGAGGCTAAAGAAGGGAAAGGAGAATACAGCATTTGTCCCTCAGGGTTGCAGCATGGCAGCTGAGAGCAGTGARTACCCCATGTCCCCTCTGTAGGTGGAAGGGGTAATAATTTCTCCTTGACTCTGAGTGACCCCCTCACACCTTCAAATGAATGTCTGAAATCAAGGTACTGCTTCTTGTATGTACTTGGAAGCTCAATGTCTCTTAAGGTGCTAAACATTTACAAACCATCCTACAGCGCTGCCTTTGAGATGGAAATATTGAACTAGGGCTGGATTTTAGTAAGCCTTAAGCATGGTTCAGAAACAACTTGTCACGTAGTAATTACTGTGTTTGGGATAGCTCTATTATTCTTTCCTCCTCTTGAGTAGCTGCATATGAAACACACACTGAAAATGGTTCGTGTGCTTTAACAATAACTGTTCCAGTCTTGTGATCCAGTAAATGGAGCAGAGATGTGCGGCAAGTATCACCTGCTTTCGAGACTTGATGTGAGAGAAGGAATACTAGGATTAACACAAGCATATATGCCTGGACCAAAGGAAAAATCCYGTTGAGGGAGTAAAAAGGGAACTTGGTGAGTTCAAAACTCCTTCCCTTGTAGATGGTTCTGCTTATGGATGGTTGTCAAGTTTGGTTTACTTACAATAATAGCTTTGATTCTCAGAAAACTGACAGAGACCAGAGCAGGAGGGTTCGACTGGATGGTCTCTAAAGGTCCCTTCCAACCTCAACCATTCTGTGATTCTTTCCTTGGCATCAAGAGCCTCCGCTTGAAGGCTGGTAAACTAGCAATTATTAATTGAGTAGCATTTGAGTGCGGTTTATCTTTCTCCTAACATTTTGGTAGTTGCAAGGAGGTGCTAAATCGCAACATATGTTCAGCTTGCAAATTTCAGGAGCTATTTTCATAGCTAGTAGAGGTTGAACTTGGCAAAATTTCTATGAAGTAGAATCTTTGAGCATTTTTTTTATACCGAGAAAAATGCTGTCGGGTGGTTATGATATCGCTGAACTTTATTCTGCCGTAGAAATTACAAAGTGTAGGGAATAGCTGTTCAACAGGACATTAAACTGAAAGCCAATTATGCTTGAAATGTGCAGTAAGAAATAATTATATCTTTTGGTGAAGGATTTTAATAAATGAAGGTGCCTGTTYGTGAAGTTTTTAAAACTTGATTATGAATGTCACTTCTGAACTGCTTCTAGTGTTTAAACAGTGTCGGAGCTTGTAGCATCCATCTACTGAGAAAAACAGATGCCAAGTGTGCCATAAGCAAGTGGAAAAACTCTTGCATTTCAGGTGCTTAAACATCTGCTTCAGCTGACACAGTAGTATAATTATTAAAGTTTATTTTCTGTAATATGTACCCARTCAGCTATTAAGTCCTTCATTTTTCTTTGGCTTAGTGAAGCACTGAGCTCCTTGAATTTCACAGGAGACAGTGGAATATGGGAACAGAAGAATTGTGCAGTGCGTTTTTCTTAGAACTTAAACATTGTTGCCTGAGGTTGGTTCATCTTGGATGCTCAGAATTTGGTGCATTTCCAACTTTGAAAGGACAGATATAAATTAAACATGATTCAATAAATTAAAAAAAAAATCTGAAGAAAACACTTTAGAGAAAAATCTTGGTATTCAGTGGGCCTGGCTTGATAGTTCTTGAGTCAGTATCTCTTTAGTTGGAGAAGGACTTTGCTGGCCTGAGGGTTAAGCTGCCTSTATGTCCATCTGCATTACTATGTTCATGAAGCTGGGAAGAGATCCTTTAAATGCTTTGCACCAGCCTCTCCTGGGTGCATTCAGCAAGAAAAGCCCGGGGACCTCTGTGTTCGGTAGGTGTTCTGTGACGCTGGCCACGACTTCCTGATGCTACCGGGGGCTACATTTTTTTTTTTCTAGATGTTTTTTCTGTTCATGTTCAACTAGTAGCTCATTTTCAGAGGATTATGTGWTGGGATCCTAAAGTTTAGATACTTTCCCATTTGCTCCAGTTGATTGTTGAATATCAATACTCAGTATTCGAGGGATCAGGTTTAAAGACTAATATTTTTCTTCTTTYTCTGCATCATACTTCCTGTCACCATCCTATTCCCCATCTTCCAGCACGTTCCTCGATCTAACTTTTTTCTTGTATTTCAGGGAATACCTTGGAAAGCAGTTGCAGTCAGAACAACCTCAAACAGCCACTGCACGGAGCTAAATACTTCAACCAGAGCATCACAGTTCATTCTTTATGCTTACAACTGGAATATGTTTGTCTTTAATGTCAAAAAAATACTTTAGTCACAACTGCTAGTACTGTGTAAACTTTCCAGCTCTCCTCCAGTGTTGTTGGCTTAGTAAAATTTGTTTGTTGTCTGATGACTATGCCTATTAGATTCCTGCTGTATTCAGAATATATGAGTAAATATGACTATTGCTTTTGTTTATGTATTTATTCTCATAATAAAATGTTAAGAGATATTAATTCCAAATCACAACTAGTCTACAAAATTGTTGTTTTAATGTGTTAGTAGTGTTGACATTCCCTCTGCGCCACACAAAATGAAGGCAGACGGGAATTAAATTTCTTTTCAAGTCTTCACATAAACTAATGAAGTTTGGACCTGCTCTTCTGTAGGAAATATAATAGCCTGAGGAGATTTTGATGATCAGTGTTGAAATATCTACCASGTCTCAAAACAATGTTAATATTGTAAATAAATGTAAAGGGGCGGGAGGGGGCTCTTCTCCTCTTAGGGAATACATTTTAAAAAAAAAATAAAAAATAAAAGTAGAGGAGAAAAATGGTGAACACTACTCTGGAAAGGGTGGTAAAGTTAAGATGTAGTGGAATTCTGACMTCCCTGTTAAGACTCTTGATTATAGCCAAACTGTGTGGTGGTGTGTGGCTTTTTTTGTTTGTTTGGTAATGCGTGGTAGCTTTTGAACCTTGAAATTAGTAGGGTTTTGTTGACTGCTGGAAGTACTTGTAAAGGCTAGTGCGGTGGTGCCSTTCTATAACATATGTTTCGCTCACATTGCTCCAGCTTGTTTGGCTATTAGATTTTTTTTTTCTGCATTTCATGGCATCTGATGCTAAAGAAAATCTTTGATATGTAAGTACTAAGACTACTCCRGCATCTCATGGTTACTGCAGACAAGGCTGCCTACCATTATCGTGTTTCCAGCCARACCATCTCCCTCTGTTAGCACAAAGTTACCGCAGCGCCCGTCTCCTCATTGCCTCATCTGCCACCTGCATCAAGAAGTCACCTGCAATGTTCTGCAGAAATCTCCTGGACTCTCCCTAGCTCTGTGGCCATCCCAGCAGACAACAGGTTGCTTGAGGTTCCCCCATCAAGACCAGGGCCTGTGCTGATGAGGCTCCTTGCAGCTGCTAGTAGGAGGCTTCATCCACATCCCCTTCCTGGTCAGGTGGCCTGTAGTAAACACCCACCACAGTGTCACCCTTGTTGGCCTGCCCTTTAATCCTCACCTCCCAAGGCTCTCGATTCCTGCTTTATCCTCTTCAGAGGATGCCATCCCCAGAGGCAGAGCTCCATGCATTCCAGTTACTCTGTCACGTATAGAGCAACTCCACCAGCTCGCCTCCCTRGTCTCCATTCTAAAAGTCAGAAAGGCATCCATGGTCATGTTCCAGTTGTGAGGGCAGGCCAGCCGTGAGAGCTGTCCCATGTGGCCCTGAAATTGCACACACCTCTCYGTTTCCCCCTGTTTTTTCCCCATGCTGCATGTGTTTACATAAAGACGTGTGAGTTGGACTCCCAATGTGCCCCTCTTTGTAGCTGGAGAGGCGCTAACTAGACTGTGTGGGCCTTCAGTAGCTCTCTGGTTTTGCTATGTTCCTCTCCAGGCTCTGGGCATCCTTTGCTGGCTCAGATGTTAAGCTGGAGTGAAGAAGCCTTTTCTGTCAGGTTCAGATGACTAAATCATAGCTACAATTTGTGAAAGTGCCAGTGTAGGGGTCACAGCTAATCACTTGATTACTRTATACTGCTTGATATACAAACTCAGGGAAAGATGCCTTGAATGGTAATTAAAAAGCTKAAAAAATACACTTTGACATATAAAGCTGAATAACTTTTAGAAGTGTTCTTATTTCTTCTAAATTTTGGCAGTGTTGCAACTTTTTTTTTTTTTTTTTTGCTAGAAGATCACAGAATAATTTAATCTCAAAACATTTACAGAAGTTAATAATCACTTTGAATTTGACTTGCCCAAYTAGCACACTTGAAGTGAGCCATTCCACTCCTATGCAAATGTATGGGTACAAGTGCATCATTTTACTTGGAAAATGCCCTAAATTCTGGCTTAGATACTTCATAAGGAATTAGTTCTGTTAATTTAGTTAATTTAGTTAATTTTCTGTTTTTTCATTCTATTTTGTATATGCACAAAATGATTGTAGCTGTTCTGAGTAAGGCTGTGTGAGGAGATTGAAGGTGAAGGAAATGGATATTTGAGCCCATCCCTTTGCAGCCTCATCAGCATCATTTGACAATTAAGATACTGAAATCCATCTTGGACATTTTCAATTTATGAGTTCTGCCTACAAAGAAATTCTTGGTATGCAGTGCACAAAGTCTATGTTCTGTTACATTTCTGAATATCACTCCTTTGTTGCTATTCCAGCTTTTAATGTCAACTAATTCCGTCAATATTATACCCTAATATTTTTCAGAACTGGTATAACTTTCCAATTTAATTTGCATCATGGTGCTATGTGAAATGGGTAATGGATGAGACTTAGAAAAAGAGTAAAAAATAGTGTTTTTTTTCTATTGATAATATAAAACTCGTTTTGCATCCTCTATCTCATTGCATCTTACTACCTTTTTCCTTGTGTTCCTTCAAATTTTTATTTTGCCTTTAGAAAAAGTATTTTTATCCTGCTGAAAACAAGCTAGTAAGCCTGTTTATAGTTTGTATTTCCTTTTTCCACACTAACTAAGTTTTAATAATTATTGTGCTGATTAATTTTCTCTGATAAATTAAGAATGGGTAATTCTCGCACTTCCACTCCAAGAAAATATATAAAGCTCTCTAGGTTTTTGCTTCAATGCAAGTTTTTGTTTCCTTACCTTGATTTTTTATTAGTTCCCCTTAATAGCTTTCACATCTTGTGGTGGAGTTGAGCCTTTTCTTCAAAGCTTTGAATGCAGTCCAGGAACTAGATGCTGTAACTTTTTTGTAACAACCAGTTAGTCCTATGCCTCTGTGCCTTTTGTGGAAATCAAAGGAATTCTCTGAAAGATTGCTGAAATCTTCTTTCAGTGGTGGTTGGCATCTAATCCACTATAGTTATTGCTAATTTTAAGACTCTCACACTACTTAGAGGAGTAGTAGTAGATTATTTCTTGAGCTAGTGAGATCCTTTTCATTTYCTATTCTGCATCCTGTAATGTTCCTGTTGAACAGTGTGACTGAGGATTTCCTTTTCTCCAAGTTTACATTGTGTGGGGATGAACCTTTGATTTTTGTCCTGCTTTTTAAGGTCATCTGTCTTTATGTAATTTTTTTTTTGATCACACACCTTTTCTAGCCATCTATCTTTTCTTTGTCTCATCTTCACTTGGCAGAAATACTGCCTTCACCCTCCTCAGGTCATATTCTTTTTACTGGTCACTTAATGATCCTTCCTTTCAACTACTTTTAAACTTCTAATTAATCTGTAAATACTGAGATAGCCCTCATTTCCAGTTGCAACTTTAATCACCAATCATGAATTTATTAAGGTGATATGTTATGCCAAAAGTCTTGATCATGTGCTTGTACTAAACCATTTAGCAGGACTTTTACATATGTTCACCTTGAATGGGTTGTCTTTTATGCTGACTCCATCGCTCTCACTATCCATTCTCTTTTCCTTTTTTTGCCTTGAAGACTGAGAAATGCTCATTCCTTGTCTTGGAAAGTATCTTGCAAGTTTGTTTAATCCTTTTTTTTTTTTTTTTTTCCTAGATGGATAAAACAATGATAGAATAATGATAGTTTCTTTGATAGAATTAAAAAAAACACTTGGACTTTCTAAATTTGCCTTTTGAGCAGAAGGAGACACTTTTTGTTCCGCAGTAGGAAATGGGACACATCTGTCATATGTCAAGTTAATGTAGTTTAAATTTTGGCTGTTATATTGATGAACTGTTGTAGACACATGTTACTGAACATTATTTAAAGAGATAAAGATGCCAATTCATAGTACGAGTATTCCTAAATCATAAGATATAATAAATAAAAACGTAATCAGTAATTTTTTAATATACCCCTCTCTAACTCCTGTCCTGAGGTGTCTGGAGAAAGGAAATGATGATTCTGAAAAGGATGGTTCTGAAGACCCTTTTCATGTCATAGAAGTTTTATTGCATTTCCTGTGGTCATATTTCACAAGGTTCATGCTCTGCAGTAGCAACACCATGGTGCTTAAGATTGACTTGTGTGCCCTGAATTACATATCCTCAATTAAATAATATATGTTACATTTAAAACAAATTCATAAAATAAAATAATTTAAAAATACAATGGTAACTATCTCATCAGCATACGTATTTCAGTGGATCAATAGCAGCAAAGCGCATCATTTCTGGAGAAACGTTCTAAAATTGATTGCAGTGTGGGCAGATGCTGCTAATGACTTAGGCAAAAGCAAACTAACTGCTCAATCTACTCCTCCCTCTGCTCAGTAATTCAATAGGTATTTTACTTCGAAAGTCCTTGGTGCACCATCTGTAGCTCTTTGCTTCTACTTGGTGCCCAATACACATTCCATAGGTAATAAATGAGGAGATTTGCCATGTAAGTGGATGACTAAAGAGAACAACTAATGGAGGTTGATTTACCAAGCCTCCCTTCTCTTTTCACCAAACAGTATTGCCTTGCACGAGCTGTAAAGAATTTATATAAATGGCTTTTTTACCTCTTAATACAAAGTCAATGGACATTTTCCTCAKTTAAAAAAAAATCACAACCTTAGTAATATATGTTCAGACATCATTACAGTGTTCCTGTAACAGCTGTTTCACTTATATGTGTCTTTAAGATTTAAAGACACATATAAAGACACATTTAAAGATATTTTAATAAATAGGCTGGCTCCTAGTGAAGAAAACCTGGCTCTTCCCAGTTCTCTTTGCTACTTTCTGGGCAAGTACCACAGGGGCAGGAGAGGGTGAATGGCTTACTCTAATTCTACTTTATTATTGGAAATTTGTTGTCTTCACTAACTGGTAACTACAGCTTGCCTTTTCTTTTTTTTTTTTTTTTTTTTTTTTCTTTTGCCATCACTATAGGAACATGTGCTCTTACTGAAGTACAAGCATTGGGCAATATCCAGGCATGCGACAAGCTGCAGAAGCTTCAGCCATGTCTTAACCATTGCCTATGCATAGGGTTCCAACTTTATGGCTTGCTAACGCACTTTTGAGA